CATGGGACTAAGAATGTGTATGCGTTTGTTGAGGTTTGATGGATGAGATCCAGTAAAGCTTCCAGTCCCTTCCCCTTTGGCCAAGATTGGTCTTTGGACATTGACAGGTCTGAGCAAGGAAGTTTTTCTTTATTATTGTTTGTAATCTCAAGCCTGTGAGTTTAAAGGCTGATATGTAAAGTACATACCATACCCCAAATAGTGGGTGTGTCTACACTTGGAGTAGGTTAGAAGATAAGAATAATAACAGGGGCAACAGCAAAGACTGGTAAATGGCCTGTCTTCCTCTTGGCTCAGTTTCTGTATCTTTACTCGGATAGACATCAGTTTTCTCTCAGTTGCTCAGAGACATGAGCCTAATGCTAATATGCCTCTCTTTAATCACCAGGTTGGTTGGTTGTTTTATTTTGGTCTCTACTGAATGTTTTTCACAAACATGCAATTATTATTATTTTTCACCATCTTTATAAAGTCTTCTCTTGATCATACTTTCCCTGCTTGTGATTGTCCATTTTTTTTTACTCTTCTTTACAGGAAAAGCCCCCCACTCATTTTATCCCACCATTGCACTACAACTCTCCTTGCTTATGCTCTCACCAATTTCCTTCATGTTACTACAGGGTCAATTCTCAGTCTTATCTTACTTGATCTTGAAGGACTCCCTTAATTTTTTCCATCTGGCTGATGCTGTTTCCTAGTCTCCTTTATGGGATCTTCCTCTTACTGTGTCTCTTAATGTTGGAGAGTTAAGAACTCCATTCTGATTCCTATCTTTGTCTTGTTCCACATTCACCTTCTTATGATCTTATAGCTCCAAAAGCCTTGTATGTGCTGCTAAATCCAAAGGCTTTGTTTCTGTAAAGATAGAAGGTTTTTGCTGGACGCAATGTTGCATGCCTATAATCCCAGCAGCTTGGGAGGCTGAGACAGGAGGATCATGTTCAAAGCCAGCCTCAGCAACTTAAGCCATAAGCAACTTAGTGAGGCTCTGTCTCTAAATAAAATATAAAAATGGGCTGGAGATGGGACTCAGTGGTTGAGCACCCTAGGGTTCAATTCCTAGCACGCACATGCACACACATATACACACACACTAACACACGCATATACACACAAAAGATAGGACTTTTTTCAACTTGGATTCCTCTGTCCAACTTCAGGCTATTGTATGCAACTGCCTACTAAATATCCCACTTGAATGTCTAATTCAGTACTACCCTAAGTGTGGCCATCCACAACTCATTCATCATCAGTTTGCAATGAAAAAAGTGCAAAAATGAAAGGAAGAGTTTAGAAACTTGTGTAACAATTTGATGATATTGGCTCAGTCAAGCACATCATCAACATGGATCAAACATGATCCATGTTGAACATGGATCAGTTCATATCTTGCATGATAAATTGTATATTGTGTGAGGTGATTTCTAATCATGTGCAATTGGGCCAGATATAGATTCTGTGTAAATATGAGGTTTAAAAAACTAGTCCTTTACATGTGACTAGTTTGAGAAGGACTGGTCTCCTAGTGCTAGTGTTTGGATACAGCTCATATGCTGGGAGCTTGATGTGTGGATCAAGTGTGGTGGTGTTGAGGAAGTAGAATCTTTAAGAGGTGGAGCCTAGTGGAATGTATTAGGTCATGGGGGCACTACTCTCAGAAAGGAATAATTAATACTGGTCTCAGAGAGCAGCTATGGCAGGGTCACGTTGTTAAAGTCTGCACTTGTTCCTTTCTGCATGCAATTATACTCTTTTCTATGTCTTCACCATATTTTTTAATTGGTTCTTTTTAGTTATACATGACAGTAGAAACCATTTTGACATAATTATAAAAGCACAGAATATTCTTGTTCTAATTCAATACCTCTCCTTCCTCTTCCCTCTCTCCACCTACTGTTCCCTTCCTTCTCTTATCTTTTTGCCATTTACCCATAGTTATTTTTTTAAAATTAATTTCTTGTGGATGTACACGATGGTGAGATTCACTGTGGTATAGTCATATATGGTCATAGGAAAGTTACCATGTTGTGATGTAGCTGAGGGGGCCTTATCCAGAGGTTGAACAGCCTGATTTTGAGCTTTCAGCCTCCAAAACTGTTATCTAAATAAGCCTTTCTTCCTTACAAAGTACCCAGACTCTGGTATTTTGTTCAAGTAGCAGAAACCAACCAAGACAAGTAGACATCTTAAATTCTACATATTCAATGAAAAGTAATACTATTTAAATGACACCATCTATTTTATATGCATGAATATTTAAGCAACAAATAAATTTTGAAAAGCTTCCATGGGGGTCGACATTGAATTCACACTATTTATTGACACATATAGCTATACGTACAAATAATATGTGAGTGAAAACTCATTGTAAAGAATTAAACAATGTGAGCTGGGTGTGGTGATGCAGGTCTGTAATCCCAGCAGCTCAGGAGGCTGAGGCAGGAGGACTACAAATTCAAAGCCAGCCTTAGCAACTTAGTGATGCCCTAAGAAACTTAACAAAAGCCTGTCTCAAAACAAACAAATAAATAAATAAAAAGGACTGGGGATGTGTATGGTTCAGTGGTTAATTGCCCTTACATTCAATCTCTGGTACCAAAAAACCCCAAAAAAACAAACAAACAAAAAAACCAATAATGTGAATGCACATGGATTAAAGTTTTTATCTCTGTTCATCACTGCTGCTTTCCTTTAATTCTAAAGACCTTTCTTGACATCATTCTCTTTACATTGTTTAATCTGTGTATTTTTAAATAGAAATATTAGTGAATATAAATGTATAATTTTAGTTTTTGCCTTTTTTATTGAGATCATATTATTCTGTAGCTTGATCCCCCCCCCACACACACACACTAAATTATACACTTGGAGATAATTTTTTCCAGTCATTTATAACATTTAACCTCAAAACAGTGATAGCATGGAATAAATATCATTTTGAAAATCAGTCCCTATTACTGAATATTTTGATTGATTATAAGTTTTTGTTATAACACCATGACAATAACATGCATTTCTTAACATGTACAAAGTATCTGTAGGATATCTTCCCAGAATAGAGTTGCTGGGTCAGGGTCTGTACATTTAAAATGTTGATACTCTCTAGTACACTTCAAAAACTTTCAACTTGTTCAAATTCCAACGTACAAGTCTTACCATTTTGTATTTTCAACCTTGGATTTTACCAAATCTCTTTATTTTTATGAACCTCATGAGTGAATATTATATTTTGTTGTTTAAATACACATTTTAGTATTTTTATTCATTATTAATATACTACTTGCCTGTTGATTTTCTTTCCATATTTTTCTTGTTTCTTAATTGATTTTTTAATTATTTTTAATCAAATGTCTGGTAGGTATTCTGATGGCATTTTAATTTATTCTTAAACACTAAGTCATACCCCAACTTTAAGTTTTATGCGTAAGAAATCCCTTCAGAAACTTCTGCATTGATCTGGACATATCCAGAGTAATGATCATTTGTTTTTTGAAATAGAGAAAACTTTCTTCTTTAGATGAAACATCCTGTTAATAATAGCTAATAATTCTTGTACAATGAGATGAATATGGTTTCATTTATTTATTTCAGGAAAGATAAAAAGGCTTCTTACACATAATTTTTTTTTTTAAATAAGGCCTTATGCTAACTCCAAGTTGCCTCTTGAATTCATTAAAGGTAAAAAGTTGCTAGTAGGTGTTCCTTGACATTTTCCCAGTATATGGGCCTAGGAAAAAGTAAATGACATTTTTACCACCTCATTCTATCCTGCAAATTTGAAAGCAGTTTCAGATCCTGATAGAACTAGATATTAGGGATTAGAGCAAATAGAGCCAACACTGTTTAAAATACAAAGGATTCTTAGTTTGTTCCTACTTTTATCTGAACTGTTACTTATCTTCCCAATATAAAGTGAAAGTGTATGAGGTGCAATTAAATGCTTAAGGATGGGTTTTCTAAACATTTTAAACCCCAGTTTTCTATTTCTAAAACATTGACAATAATTGTGAAGACAAATATAACTGAAGATATCTAAACCACCAGCATATAGTAAACCCTTAATAAGCACAAATTAGCCACTACTATTATTATTATTATTAATTTATCATCATTAGCTGGTGTAAACAATATTTATCTTACATCTGTAATTATTGTTAGCCTCTTTTAAGTCAAATCTGGCTAAACTATGTCATATCACTAGTACATTTGCCAGCAATTTTTAAAAAATGATTATAATGATGATGGGAATAAAAGCATCTTATAATTGTCAGTTTGAATTATTATGGTAAAACTATAATAAAACACAATTTGTGTTCAGAACTTACCACCATAACAACCCTTGAAACATAATATCCTGCTTTTGTTAGCCCCCCCTTTTTTTTGGCTAGTATGCATCAGGTATTGTAATAGTATGCTTTTAAAATATATATTTTAGTAGTCACTATGGTTTTGGGTTCCAATCTATACTGCTGAAAGCAAAAATAAATTAACAAAATTGTGTGCATCTTACATTAGTTGAGTGCTTACTATGGTTCAGAAATATGTTGCTGGACATTATGCAGCCTTTTTATGTTTGTCTTTTTGTTTCCCTCTGCTTAACAAAACAAAATTGCTTGGAAGGTAGGGATGAAATTGAAGAGGGTAAGACTTTTTATAGGTAAAACGCTATCAGGCGCTAAATACTTGAAATTTTCACTGCATTTGTACGTTTGTATTTAGGCATCAACTTCTACCGTAGGAAATTTTTCCTTTCCCAAATCCGTGTGGACAATGTAGACACTAAAGATGCTTAAGACAGACTTCCCAGATTTGCCCTCACTCTGCTGTGCTGGGAAATCCTTGAGGTCAAGGAAAGTGGCTAGGATTGCGCAGGGAGGAGGGCAGCGAAGGAATTCAGTCTAGGAAGGCGGCGGGCCAGGAGCATGATCCCTTACCCTCCCTTTGCGCCAGCTCCGTGGGGTTGGGAAGCTCCTCCCCAGCCTTTCCTTCCTCCTCCCCCTTTCTCCGCAACAGCCGCGGGCGAAGGGTGAGCGCTGCGGTATTTTGTCCCGAGCGGTGACCCCTCCTCCCAGGGAGGCAGAGGCTGCGGCGGCAGCCGTGGAGGTGGCGGCGGCAGCGGTGGCGGCCCGGCATTGAGGAGAGGCCGAGGCCGGCCCGGCGGCCTGAAGGCCGCGAGAGGCGGAGGCCGGGCTACCTTCGCGCGCCGCACGAACGGAGGGGAGGAGGCGGACGCGAGCGAGCCCCGCCCGGCCACTGGGAAGGTGGGGGAGACTCCGCGCTCCTCTCGCCCTCCGGCCGCCCCGCTGGCCCTGCAGCCGCCGCCGCCGCCTCGGGCTTCAGCTCCGGGCCCCGCGGTCCCGGCCGGAGAGGGGGGGCGGCGAGTGCTCCGGGAGCTGCCGGAGATGGCCGGAGGACACTGCGGCAGCTTTGCCGCGGCGGCGGCTGGCAGCGGCGAGATCGTCCAGCTGAACGTGGGGGGGACCAGGTGAGTCGCCGGGGAGGGGGCTGGGAATCGGGATGCCTCGGGCAGCCTCCAGCGGGGAAACCAGGGTCCCCGGGTGAGGGAGAGCCGAGCCGGGTGGGGGTCGCCAGGGTCCTGCAGGTGAGAAGAACGGTGGGCGGATCTGGAGCTGCTGAAGTCTTGCACCTGGCAGGGAGGGGCAGAAGGGCCTCCTGCAATCACCCAGAGCCAGAGCCATGTGGCCCTGTCTATGCCTTCTTAGAATGCCAGCCTTTGTTTCTCTCTTTTTCTAAGGTATCAAACTAAGAGGGACATTGTATAGCCTGCCTTACCTCAGCTCGGAGTGTATTTGAGGAATTTAATTTGTGGAAGCCTGACCTTGTGGTTGGACGGTTGCAGATGAACACCCCCCCACCTCCCTTCTCTCTCTCTGGGATTAACATGGGGTTGAGTTAGCCGTGTCAAGAAAAGTACAGCGTTCTTTTCCATGCGCAATTAAGGGCTGTTTGTAATTAGAAGACTTTCGGTGCAAGATGTGCAGTAGGTTTTCAGTACATAGTTGTTTTCAGACTTTCTGGGTGCATGGGTTTGAAGGCTCTATTCAACTGTGTCCAGAGAAGGCTGCTGGAACAGTTGGTTCTAGGAACCTTTGGATATTGGCACTGAGAAAATAGATTGAAAGCTCTTCTGTGCCTCTCTGGCCTTCCACTCCCTTTCTCTGCCTTTTATTAAGCTTGTTGGAGGGAAGAACCAGTTTTTGTGAATTTGCCATGACTTGTGAGTCACTCACTCTGCTCAGAAAAGGGAGTTTGCCAGCTCTGTTTGAAAGAAGGGGTAGTTGAGTTTCAGGTATAAACAGTGAAGTACTGTGGATTATAGTGTATTTTACTTTGCTTGAAATATGGCAGGTTTTCAACATCTAAGACAATGTTTTTTTTAAAATATAAACCGATAAATGTGAACCACAGTAATAAAACATGGGTAGTGTTTTAATCCTTAACAATTAAGAGCTTTTTGAGAGTGCTATAAAGTTCAGCACAAAATACAATAATACTTTATTCTTATTTCTTTTTTTCTCTTCCTCCAAAGCTTTAATAAGAGTAAGAAGTTACAACATTATTGTTGTTATAGAGATACCAGTTGTATGGAGAAAATGTATATCTCCTACTGTAACAAGCAGAAATTTCTCTAAAATCATGAAAATATTGAAGGTAACTATGGATGCAATACTGGAACCTCTGTCAAGAGTAGGCCTTCAGTATGTGTTAAGACGAGTAGCATTATAATCAATTAAAATCCCTACACTGGTTTGTAATTGCTGTGAATTGTGGGTAGTATTTGTTTTAAGGCTCTCAAAAGGAATTATAGTATTATAACAAAAATTATTATTTACTGTATATTAAAGTGGACGGCCTAATGAGTGAATTCTCCTTCAAGAATGCAGAAATCAATTAATCTGACATCACTTTTCTGTGTACATGTATATTCATGTACACCACAGTGAATCTTAACATTGTGTACAGCTACAAGATTGGGATCCTAATTAGAATAAGATATACTCCATATTTGTATAAATATGTAAAAATAGCCTCTTGTCATGGATAACTAAAAAGCAAATAAAAAATAAATGTTCAGAAAAGAATACAGCCAATTAAAAATTTAAATTGTTACTATAACATTTTACTTTTTGTTTACATTAATTATAGATCTTGATTTTATCACATTCTAAATTTTTCTAATAGATAATTAGGAATACAAGATGAGATAATAAGTTATTACTGGATTAAGCAATTTAGAAGACAGTTAAAGTTGTCAGGTAGGAATGAAAAATAAAAGTAAAAAATTTAAAACAAGAATTGTTAGGATAAAATGCTTCATAAAATAAGTAATGATATGGACTATAGAAAACAGAATGTGTGATACCAAGTGTTCTAAGAATATTTGCTAGATCTGCTTTGATTCATACTGCAGCATTTCAGAGTTAGAAGAGATATAGAAACCATTATACTTGTACAAAACACAGATTAACACAAAATTACTTAAGTCACTGTTAGAAAATTCCTGAGCAATTGTTCATTGGCGAACCACCTGTGACATAGAACTGAAGCTCTGAAATCATACAGTAAAACTCAAAAGGTGAGTTTATTAGAAGCAGAGAAGCACCTGCTATAGGTAAGATCTCTTTCCTGAGACGAGAGATGTGAAAATAGACATACTCAGAGATATTATAGAAATGATCAATTTTTATAACTCGTGGGTGATTCAGAAATTAAGGAAGATGAGGTTTCATTTAGAATTGTAAATGTTTACTATTTACAGAAAATAATAGTGAAATGAAAGAAAGCCAATATTACTCAATTTGTGATGAATTTTGTTATGAATGAGTATAATTTTAGGTCTCATGAGGGCCAGGACAGCCAGTGGGCACTCTGGGAGTCAGGTACATGGTATCATTTCATAGGCTTTATATTTATAAACTGTGGGCAAATTACTTTTTAAGTTTTCTAAAATTAAAAATGACATTAATGGTACGGATCTTATAGAATTGATATAGAAATTGAAGTAATAAACATGAAATGCTGGTTTGGGGCTGTAGCTCAGCTGCAAAGTGCTTGCCTAGCATTCGTGAGGCACTGGGTTCTATCTTCAGTACCACATTAAAATAAACAAATAAATAAAATAAACATGAAATGCATAATTTTATTCACTTTTAATGCTGAATAATATTCCATTTTGCATTTGCAGGTAAATGGATGGAGTTGGAGAATATAATGCTAAATGAAGTTAGCCAATCCCAAAAAACCAAATGCCAAATGTTTTCTCTGATTTAAGAATAAGGATTTATAACATGGTTGGGAGGCGGGCATAGGAAGTTAGAAGAACTCTAGATTGGGCGAAGGGGAAAGGGGAGGGAGGGGAAGAGAGGGAGTAATGGGGGTAAAAGAGACAGTGGAATGAGATGGACATTATTACCCTGTGTACAAGTATGGAATGGTGTGACTCTACTTTGTGTTCAACCAGAGATATGAAAAATTGTGCTCTATATGTGTAATATGAATTGTAATGCATTCTGCTGTTGTATATAACAAATTAAAATAAAAAGAAATATTAAAAAATATGAAATGCGAAGATGAGTGACATCAATAGTCTGTTGAAGAAAGTAATTTAATTATATTTCTTTCAAGCTAATTTAGAAGTAGGCAAGAAGAAAGGAGTATAATTGTGAATTTGCCAGTCTCTTTAGTCATCCTTTTGCTGAGACCAGATTACTCACGACCCTTTCCTTTGCACACTATGAAATAAAAAACAGAAAAGGCTTTCATGTATATTGCAAGAAATATGCTTAGTATATATAATTTTAAATGTTTTGGTTTTTATAATTTATATTTGGAACCTGTTTGGGGGCTTTTTTTTTGTTTTGTTGTTTTTTGCTGATGTTTTCATTTTCTCTTGTGGGGAAAAAATTGGTAGTGGTGAGGGTCCAATCCCTTTCCAAAATTCCAGACTACTAAATTCATCCTAAAGTACTGACTAAAATTAAAATTAATTAAAATTAAGCAGATTTGTGTAATTTCCTAAGTCACATTTAAATTTGAATTATTTGAAAAGTTTGCTGAGTAAGCAGTGAATATGCAAGATCAGAAGTTAAAAATTATCCTTATTTGGAATTAATTTGATGGCTTCCAAAACAGTGAATCTTTTTTACTGTGGATCCTTTGATCCTTCAGTTTACCATTGACTGATTTGCTTTTATTTAGTTGACTGAATCAGTTTCCTGTAACTAATGATAATCTACTTTTCATTTGAGTTTGCTAAGAAGAAAAATACTTTGCCATGTTGCATTCTTGAATAAATAATTAATAATCAGATTAATGGTTATAGTAACTACTTAAAAACACTCTTGAAATAGTTGGTAGTTAACCTCTCTCTGTTCTCTAAAGTATTTTACTAATGAATTATGTCACTGTGTTTCCTTTAGTCAGTGAGAAAATCCTTTTCCACACAGGTGTAAGCTTGTGGGTGGGAGGAAGAGGAGATAATTTTTTTGTGATTGAAAAGCATGTTTTGATAATAATAGAAAATCACTGAGGTTGAGCATAAAGCTTTTTTTATTGAACAGTATATGTACTATGTTGTTCCTGACACTAAGATTGATGGTGCTAAATGTTTTGTCAAATGGGCAGTTTAGTGACATCTGTTTGTCAACACTTTGGAAATGCTTTGTTGCAACCATAAAAGGCCCACAGATTGTAGAACCGAATCACTGTCTCAGTTTTGTATAAAATATGTAACTGGATATAGTGTGTGGTTTTGGTTAGCACAACTCAAATTTCAACAAATATTTATTGATTATGTGCTAGCTTGCCAAGCCTTATGGAGTTACAGGTTGTTCTCTACCCCCCCCCTTTTATTAAAAATGTATACTATTCTATATTAAATGAATTTCTGAAGATAAGTTTGAAAGATAAATGTGTCCATTCATCAAGTGATATAAAATACAAGTCATTGTTGCCTCAGGTGGAGGTGGACTTGCCAAATTTAGAGATGAGTGGATTCTGTATAAGTCTTGGTGATTGCTACTGTTTTCAATCTGGCCTTCATTCCACTGCTGTTTGCTATGCCACTTGGAAAAGGGGAATGAGAAATGGAATGAATTCTAAGGTTTGATAGGATGAGCAAAGAGTAAATAGTGTCTACTTATCTGGTTATTCCAAGTTGCTGATTTAGGTGAGTTGCCTGTTGATATCATATGGCAACCAGTGCTACTATCCAATCACCTTATTTAGTTTAAGTCTGAAAGATAAACATAAATTTAGAGATTTCATATAATTCCAGAAAGTGAATGTAGAGTGAAAGTAGAGGTCTCCAAGGTGCTATTCTGTGTGAGCTAACTTGTGATGACTTAAAAGTGAAAATATTCAGACAAAAACTGGACTGGATACTCACTGTATTCCTTTCTTTGTCATGTTGGCTTACATACTTTTTGATTTATGGTCCAAGACTTTGGTTAAGATCTTCTTACAAACTGATGGTAATAAGCAGACTTGATCAAATGACAGTTAATTTCAAAAAGTGATATCTCTGCTAATTTTTTTTTAAGTTGTAGATGGACACAATATCTTTATTTATTTATTTATTTTTATGTGGTGCTGAGGATTGAACCCAGTGTCTCATAGTACGAGGCAAGCACACTCTACGGCTGAGCCACAACCCTAACCGTCTGCTAATTTTTTAAATGAATGAATGCATCGTCTATAAATAGTAGCATATGATTATTACATAAATAACAAAGTAAGTGTTGAATGCATAATTTACACTTACATTATGATGATCTCAAAAAGAGGTAATATAAGTTAGAATATTTGCAGAAGTCATTACAGAGACAGTAACCTCAGTGGTGTCAAGAAAAGGTGGATTTGGGTTATTGGACATAAAGGGCATGATCTTGTCAACATAAAGATGTTAAAATGATAGCGAACATAAATTGTTTAGGAATTTTAAGAAGTACTGGAGGAAGAAAACAAAAAGTTTGGAGAAATGAAATGGGATCTGAAGAAAATATTATGCTGAGAAATGGAAATTGGGCACGACAGCATAATTGATTCTTTGGCACATTGACATGCTGGAAAATAATGTTCTAGGAAGCATTATATGGTTGAAAATTGTTTGACTTTTTTGAGAACTTGAATAATCTTAACTGAATTGAAAGTAGTACAATTTGAAAATATGATATGTGATAAATATAATTGATGTAGCTATAATTATGCAACAGCATGTAAATAATTAGCCAGCCCATTAAAGTAAGTTAACTAATATTGAGATTTCAAATCATTTTCTCACTTATCATAACTGTTAATTTTTGATTATAGATTTAGTACCTCAAGACAAACTCTAATGTGGATTCCAGATTCTTTTTTTTCCAGGTAATTTATACAATTCTTTGTTACTGTATGTTTGATTATTTGCCAAAATAATAATTTCCTTGTCAGTTAAATTAAGAGGTTATTTTTTAAATAAAAAATGTTTATTCTAAAAACAGAACTTTTTAAATTAAGAGTTTATATTGGCTTTGAAATTTGATCATTTGTGTACACTTAGATTTTAAAAACTAACTCTAGCTTCTTGTTAATGGCTTCTAGTTTACTGAGTGGAAGAATTTCAACACTTCGAGATGAAACTGGTGCTGTGAGTAAAATAATGTTGATATATATTTCTAAATTTAATTAATTATTGTTTATATGCTTGGTCCTTAGTATTTGGTGACTCAGAGTTATGGAAGCTAATCTTTTAATACCACTAAATGAAAGTGACTTAGTTTTTATTTATTTCTGGTCTTATACATGAGTATTTCTAAACAGGAAAATACTCCATATAGCAATTTGTATGTTCATTATTAGAAAGATTGTAGAATATGAGGTTACATAGGCAATAGAGGAAGTAGTTCTTTAATAAATAAAACTTTAATAAGTAAGTAGATGTAAATATCAAATATTTTGATATTAGAATGGTAAGAATTTGCAGATTACCATTACCTACAATTTTTTATTTCCCAAAATATCAATAAATAAAAATGAGAAAACTGGTTTGTTAATTAATATTTTCCCTACATTTTAAAATATCATCAATTTAATAGTTTTTTTAGAGAGAAAAAAGAAATTACCACAAATTCATAGTTAGAACAGCATTTTGATTTTTAAAACATTAAGAATGAAATCACGAAAATACAGTATTTTTAATTTGAAAATAAAAATTCTTCATTTATAGATATTTATTGATAGAGATCCAGCAGCTTTTGCACCCATTTTAAATTTTCTTCGGACAAAAGAACTAGACTTAAGGTAAGAAATGCATCCTTTTTAAAGTAAATTCTTGCTGATAACTATTTTTGATACATTTTATAAAGAAAATGTTGTTTACCCCTTTGACTTTTTAAATTGACCTATAAAATTTATACTTATTTAAGGGCTATAGCTTGATACATGCAATGTGTAATGATCAAATCAGGGTAATTCGCATTTCTATCTCATATCATTTTTATGTATTAGGGACCTTTAACCCATTCTATTTTGAAATATATGATTAATTTCTGTACACTGTAGTTTCCCTGTCATGCTAGAGAACATTAGAACTACGTGCTCCCTCTGTGTCTTTGTCATGATGGGCAAAGGTGTGACTTATGCAGTAGAGGGGGAGAAATAAGAATGTCTATGTGCTTCTTCCCTTTCAATGCTTTATTAACTCACATCACTCAATATAATTTCAATCTATAGATTCTTGATCAAGAAAATGACAGTAGCATAATCAATCCACAGCAAACAATTCTAGATTAAGTCTAAACACTGCAAACACTCTTAATTATGACAGGCTCATGACATTCCCTCTGCATGCTAAGCTCAAGTGCCAGATCTGAAGTTTCAAGCCTTATGCTCTAAGTCCAGCAGATGCACACTCACTCAGACCATGGTGCTCAGGTCAGGGACTGAGGCAGGCTTCTCCCGGGGTGGGGCTGACAGCCCGTTGAAGAGAGGGTCATAGGGAGAAGTTGCAGTTCTCACCAGGGTCAAGATGTGGCTGTAGAGTTTGAAAGCAGTAAGGAAGATGCAGAGGATTAGGCAAAGGATGAGAATAATTGGGATATCAGTCCAGGTCCTCATCAGGCTCTCCGGCATGAGGGCTGTCTGTTCATTTGCTTCATCATTTATACTAAATTTTGGGGCTTGTGACCACCCTTTCAGTCCCCATTGTGCTATTGGATTTCTTGGTGGCGTCATTTGCCCTGAGGTTAAAGCATCTGGTCTGGTGGTCCCCACCCTGATTTTCTTGCCTTTCCTCCTTATCGGGGTGAGGGCAGCATGACAGAGACTTTACTCTTGAGTTTGTCAGGATGGGGAGAAAAGCTGTGCCTGATGATCATATTGGAGGGCTCCATAGGTGTGCCTGGTGAGACTGCAGGTTTCAAAATGGAGTTTCAAAATGGAGTTGCTTAGGCTAAGGCCTAAGTCCATCCTTATAGTATTGGATATCTATTACCTACCTTCTTACTGGTCCTCCCCAATTCACTCCTTTCCTCTAAAGACCTCTTTTCTATCTCTCCTCCTGTGTGATCAACTTTTTGAATGAGAATATACAGTATTTGCCAAGTCTATTTTAAAAAAATATTTTTATTAGTTATAGATGAACACAATACCTTTATTTTATTTATTTTTTATGTGATGCTGAGAATTGAACCCAGTGCCTCACACGTGCTAGGCAAGTGCTCTACCACTGAGCCACAACCCTAGCCTTGCCAAGACGATTTTTGATTAAAGATTTCCTCAGGCTTAAACTTTCATAGATACAGGCCAGCATCATCTCTTCCTTTAATGTATTTCCAAAAACTTCTTGAGCAGTTTACCTGCCTTGTATCCCTCCATTATATTTTCCACATTGCTGCCAAAATTATCTTCTGATCAGGTTGCTACTCTGCTTAAAACTCTCGATGTTATATTGGACTGATGGCTTAGGATTCAGGGCTTGATGATCTTTGTCTATAGTCTGGCCCCAGCGTAATTTCTCTTATAAAATTTGAATTCTTCCTGGTCTTGACTAAACCTGACTACTTTAATAATCTTTGCTGTGTCTACCTAATTTAAGTATTCATAGTTTCCTATTCTGTCATTGTCATAGCACTTGTTATATTTCATTCATTTTTATTAGTCTGTCTTTTATTAGATTTAAATTCCAAAAGAGCAGCTACAGTTTGCTATATATTCCTAGGACCTAAGTCTGTGATTGAAGCATGGTAAGAGCTCATTACATTATTTTCTTTGTGGATAAATCAATGATTGTTTGAACTATATCTTTAACATTGCCATCTTCAATTATAGTTGAGTTTCCTATCAGGGAGTGATGATTTGCATTTACTATTTTCATATTTTCCCAATAAGCTTTCAGTAAGGATTCCTTAATTTTTTTTTTTAGAAATTTAGTTGTTCATTTTAGCTGCTTCTTTATAATATTGTTTTGTTTTTGGCTTATATTCATTCGCTAGAAGGTAAACTCCTTGAAGACAGAGATCTTTTTTGGTCTAAGTTTATTTCTTGGCATACATTAAAGTAGCATGTGTAATATATAAAAATAGATATTTATTAAATGAATAAAAATGTTTGTTGGGCCTTCTTGTTATATCTATTTTTTGGCCTGTGATTGGTGGGATGTAAGAAGTATATTACTACTTCTTGAGAAAGATTATTTTCACTCATAGCATTTGGATTGAGAAAGTCCCAAGTTCACTTCTAGTCAATGATTTTCTGACTAATCCATAGTTACATCAACCATAAAAGGCAGATTTAATTTAAATGTGTATGTTTACCAGCAACTTTTCTTACAACTTACTATCTTTTTTCAGTTAAAGAGCCTTACCAAGTTTAAATTCTCAATGGTTCCCTCTAAAAGAAGATGGGAAGGAAGGGATTAAAAACAAACAACCCTCAAATAATTATGTTCTAATTCTCTTCCTTGAAATCTGCATTGCCCATATCATGCTGTTTTATAATTATTGTATTTGTTTGCCTGTCCTAAGGAGAATGAAAGTCTTGAAGAACTATCATTTGTGCCCTGAGCCACCTGTCAACACAGATAGTTTTGAAATGGAATCAGAAAATTTAAATCATTCTTATGTCATAATTAATTTCACAAATAAAAACAGTTTAATATCACCGTTTCATATTTATTAAGGCCAGGTGGTATTTATAAAGTAAGGACACATAATAGAAACCTAAAATGAATCATCATTATTGTAAGCTCTGAGGCTTATATTCTTTTTTTTTTTTTTTTTAACTTTTTGTTTTCCTGTTACTTAACTGTATTAATGTGTTGTAACAGTCTTTATCTGGATGACACTGTCTTTGCTAAAGCTAATGTTTTTCCTATTTTTATTTTGTTTTGTTCACTCAACAAATTATTTATGCCAGCACTGTGCTAAGTGTAGTACAAGGTATACAGAAGTTGAAGTAGATTGCTTGTATGGAGCTTACAATATAATGAGGAAGGTTAAAATATGTGTGGAAATAATTATGTTAAAAAGCTACAAGCAATTCCATAAGGAATAACTTTCTCTCTTGTTTTTGTGTCTGATACGTCTTGATAAGTCATTTGCATTAGAATACAGCCCTAACTCTTTTACTTACTCAATTCATTGAATATTTTTTTTATAGTAGGTAACAAAATGTTTTGGTTCACATGAAGTTATTTTTTATTTAGACTTTTTGAAATGATTAAGGATATTAAAAATAAAGAATATTAGGAAAAAAAGTAAGTTTAAAGCCTTATGGCTTTTTCACTTTTAGAACCCAGTACTTTCTCCTGTTGCTTCAGGTATAATCTAAGTTACCAATGTTAAAGAATTTATTTCATTCATTTGTTTCTTTATAGGGGAGTAAGTATTAATGTTCTCAGGCATGAAGCAGAATTTTATGGAATCACTCCATTAGGTATGTAGTCTTTTGAGTATTTTGTGTTTATTATTTGTGCATTAAATTTGCCCAAATGAAATTTGTTTTATATTTGGGTCCTGATTTTTGACAGAATAGTTCAGCACTTAGTTTTTGTGGCTATTCATACTAAAAAGAGGTTATTAACTCTGATTTAACTCAAACATTTTCCTTTTCTTTCCTTATCCTCTTTAACTAGAGAAAATAAAAATGGAGTACTGTTTTTCTGTTTGCATGTACTCTTGACAAGTTTGCTTTGAAATGTTTTTAGTAAGAAGGCTTCTCCTATGTGAAGAATTGGAGCGTTCATCTTGTGGCAGTGTCCTTTTTCATGGTTACTTGCCCCCACCAGGTATTTCTGCTTTATTTTCATTTGTCTTTTAAAAAATTCTTTTTGTCATTAAATAGTTACAAATAGGAAAAACTATTCTTTGATTACTGAGTTTCTTTTATATAAATCTAGAATTAGAACATTAATTCTTTTAGATGCTAAGTCACACTACATGTTATAGAGAAAACTTTGGTGAACTTTTTCTGTAAAGGGCCAGATAGGCTTTGTGAGCCAGAAGACTTCTATGGCAACTACTGGACTCTGCTGCATATACTACATAAAGGATTGAATGTTACTATGTCCTTTACAACTTTATTTAGGTTTTTTTTTTTTTATTTCCCTTGGGCTATAGTTTGCTAACACCTTAGTCATTGCTCAGGTTGTCAGACTTCTTATTGTAGAACCCAAGGAGCTTTTCAGAAGTACATCAGTATTACCTATGTCCCACTTTCGATAATTAGAAGAGTTCAGCCTTTACCTATGTGAGTAAGGTTTCATTTTGTAAAACGCCTCCCCTGCCAAATAAATGATATGGGGAAGTTCAGTTCCAAAGCAAAGTTAAATTAGTACAGAGTACCTGACACATAGTACCATAAATGTAAAGACTGGTGGAAAGACTGAATGAATGAACCATTAATTTAGTAATCTGGAGGTAGGTGAAAGTAGAACATAATGATAAATCGTAATCTTCTCTATTTCAGATGATATGGCAAATACCAAAAATCTGTGAATTTTTTTAATATTCTTTTAAAAATTGTAATTAGCATATAAATTGCTGTTTCAGAATATCTATTTTAGGTACAGTGAGATTCACATTTTAATGTTTTTCTCTTACAATATGGTATTTTTAATTTTTGGAAGGTTAACCCATAAAATAAATATGGCTTTTCCTTTATAGGCATTCCTAGTCGTAAAATAAACAACACAGCTAGATCTTCTGCTGATTCTCGGAATGGACTAAATTCTGCAGAAGGTGAAGCCCGGGGAAATGGTACTCAACCTGTTCTCTCTGGAACTGGAGAAGAGACTGTTAGACTGGGTAAGAAAAGATTATAGAAATAGAAAAAGAAAAATGCATATATTTTCAGTTCTTGAAAATACTTGAGTAATTATTTTTAAGTATGTAATTTTGGCCTTATCTCTTTTTTAAATCCAGATTTATCATTTAGATCATTAAAAAGAATCTCATTTAACATAATCATTTATTTAAAAAGTAATGTGATCTGTTTGCTGTGAATCTTCAGAATAAGGATTGATAAACTTGCTGTTAAGAACCAGATTGTAAATTAAAAATTTAGGCTTTATGGGCTATACTGTCTTTGTCAGGGCTATTCAACTTTGACATTGTAGCATGAGGGCACAATGGATGATAGATAAACAAGGGCATGTGACTGTGTTCCAACCAAGCTATTAATCGAAACAGGCAGAAGACTGGAATTGGACTGTGGGCCATAATTTGCCAACTCATTTTAGAATATAAGATATTTCTTTTTCCAAAATCAACAGGATTTCCTGTGGATCCACGAAAGGTGCTAATAGTAGCTGGCCATCACAACTGGATTGTAGCTGCATATGCTCATTTTGCTGTGTGTTACAGGTATTACGTAATAATAGTGGTTTGCATTTTATTTTAGATGGTAGTTTCTGATATTTATGATTTTATATTATTAGATTAGGAGCTCTTTCTTTTATCCATCAGAATTTTCCTCTGCAGAGCTGGGGATATACATGGTAGAATACTTGCCTAGCATGTGCATGTCCCCAGTATTGCTAATGAAAAGGGCTGGGGGTGGTATCTGAAAAAAATAATTTTTTTTTTCATGGATATTTCACCCACTTCTACTGTATCCATTTTAAGATTTAGTTTGCTTTTACTTTTTTTTTTTTTAACATTTTTAGTTGTAGATGGTCACAATGCCTTTATTTATTTGTATGTGGTGCTGAGGATTAAACCCAGTGCCTCACATGTGCTAGGCAAGCGCTATACCACTGAACTATACCTCCAGCCTAGTTTGCTTTTACTTTGACAGCAAATTTGTAAATATTGCTGATGGTCTTCTTATTGTATTTGCCAGGCTGTATCAACTGTAATGTAACTGAGATGTCTTGATGTTATTATTTCTTGGTTCTGTCTAGCTTCTGAGTCATTTAACTTACATTAAGTAATTTTAGATAGAATTATCAATATACATAATATTTTAACTTTAATGATTCAGTTATAAGATGATGATTATTAATTGTAGCTTAAGAAAATGTAGCCACTGTAGGTTATAATGATTCAGTCATTTATACTCTATAGAAGAGTAAGACTCTACTGGTCATAATTACTGTGTTGTTGGGAGTGACGTAGTGAAACAGGACAGTTGTGGGCAGAAGTAGTTGGGTTTAATATCTATAATGTGAGAGATTTATGCAATAATTTTATTTTATTAATTTTTAGATTCTTAGACACTAAAAGAGGATGAAGAATAGTGTAGACCAGTGATTTTTTTTTTTTTTTAAATGGGCAAAATGGGGAAAGGTCAACACTCAGTTCAAATCACTAATCACTATCTGCATTGAGAAATGCCGATGATAGAAAATGGAATGGAAGCAAAAAACTGGTTGGAATTTACTAGTTTATATTATGATCCCATATAATTTAATTGCTGAAAAATTAAGGAATCTATAAATTTTTGTCACTATTGACTTCGATTAAGAAAAAATAGGCACAGAAAGTTTAAAAAGTTACAAATGTCCTCTAGAGTTTATAATAAGATATGTTTTAAAGAATCACAGATATAAGCTGGGTGCAGTTGTGCATGCCTGTAATCCCAGTTGCTTGGGAGGCTGTGAGACAGGAGGATCCGAAGTTCAAAGCCAGCCTCAGCAAAAGTGAGATGCCAAGCAACTCAGTGAGACCCTGTCTCTAAGTAAACTACAAAATAGGGCTGGGGATGTGGCTCAGTGGTCATGTGCCCCTGAATTCAATCCCAGTAAAACTGTGCCCCCCCCACAAATAAAAAATCCCAGATATATTAAAAAATACTCAGTTTATGAAAAGGCTTGCCACATTTGGTTAGGGCCCCTTTCTGTTATTTCAGGTTCTTTTTTTTTTTTATTGTAAGTAGTGATTAGGTGCAAACTTTTCATTTTGAGAGTGTTTTGTGGATTTTGAAATTAAATTATTGAATAGTATAAAAATAATATTTTGGATAATTTATAGACAGTTTTTATATGAATTAAGACTAATTTGCTGAAGTTTTTTTAAGACTCATTTTGAACTTAACCATCTTAAGGATGTAAGTGAAAAGACTTTTATTTTTCCCCCCTTTGGCCAGCCACTTAAATATTATGTACTGATAAGAAATTCCAGAAAGTTATGAGATGATGTGTAACAGCTAACATAGCTTTTGTTACTGCACAGCAGTGCTGAATGTTGCTACTTCCTGGAGATTCACAGTATTGCACAAAATTTAACACAAGTGATGAGTATATGAAAAATGATGCTATTACATTTTCCATTCTTTTTGCTTTTGACCAGGATCTTTCTTTGCTTTCACTGTCAGTGCTGCAGCAGTGTGCCCATACAAAGTGAGAAAGGGAAATAATTGAGGGCATACTAAATTTCTTAATGTATAGTTAAATCATCCCACACAGTGGCAATAAGATTTAAAAAGAAGGAAATCTTATACAAGAGTGCAATCTTTTCTATGTAATAAGTTAAAAACTTTAAAGACTAATATAGTGAGTACCTACCTATATGTTCTTCCCATAGATTCAATAATTTTCTAGGTGGTTAAGATTTTTTTTATCCCTTTTTCTTTTTGAGTCTTTGACAGTGTTACTTGTGTTATGAAGAGTAGTTGTGTAAGTTTGCTCCCTTCTTGCCATTTATATCCCGTTTTAAATCTTTAATCCATGAAGAATTTAAATTTACTTTTTTGTATTTGCTGTGAGAGTTAAGAATTTTTTTTCTTCCAAGTGGGTAGTTAATTAAATTCTGATCATTTATTACATAAATTACCATTTCACTGAATTTGAAAGCTCCCTTTATTTTATGTTATGTTTACACATACACATACACTTCTAGGTGTGTATGTGTATGTGTATTTTTTAAGGATTCTTATAAAGTCTTACATCTTTGTCTATTTCCATACCATTTAAAGTAAATTATATTTACAGTTAAGTTTTAAAATCTTGTAGAACAGAATTTCCTGAGTGTTTAATGAGGGAACTAACCATATTCTTTGTATAGATGTCCTGAATCCTAAGAGAGCAGTAAGGAGTTATAGTGCAAGCAGAACTCATTCTTTCTTATTTGTGTATTTTAAATCTCAAATCCTGTTATGCAGAATTATATAGTGAATGTATTTTTTCTTTGTACTTAATTTTAGTTTAAAAATAGAAGTAGATTCACATATCTTCCCGAGTTAAATGCTGTAGCTGTTTTAGTCACTGTTAAGTGTGTTATCTTGATTCTTTTACCCTTTCTTATCATCTCTTTATTTTGTAATACCTTGTTATAGAGAAAAATGTTACAGATAACATAGATATATGTTATCTGTAAAAGATAAGATTACGCATAATTTTATCATTTATATTCCTAAATTAATATTCACAGAATCACATTATTCACCTCATTAAGTCAATTCAGTGTCTCTTTACCAGACCTTAGTAGGAACCCAGCATACATCACAATACAGCATGCTGTTTTTGTTCTTGAAGTGCTAGCAATTCCTGCTTTGTGCCCATTCTGAAAGTCTCAAATTACATCTACATTTCATTCCTCAATGTTTTATCAATTTTTAGAAAATATTAGATAATTATTTTCAGTTGTTTATCTTAGCATGATTCCCATCTGGTGGCTGAAGATGGTAATTACAGACTTTAAAATGCTTAGGAAATTTTGATAAATTCTTCTCAATATTGCTTTAAGTTTAAGGAAAGCTATCATTCTTCAAATTAAGAAGGCTAAATAGGTACCTTTATGAATTATAATGGTATTATTTTAGTATACACATTTAAAGGAAAATAAAATTGAAATGTTTTTATTTAGGTCTTTCAGTGACCATTGTTTATCAATATCTAAGTTTTATTTATTGTTTTTTTAGCTAAGGATTCAACCTATGGGCCTTGTGCATACTGAGTGCTCTAGCATTAAGGTATGCCCCCAGAACTCCCTTTTTAATTTTTCCAAAGAATATGTCAGGTGGCATGTAAAGGGACTTTTTTTCCCCTTCATCTTCTGTTTAGTCTGTTTAAGTAGGACAAAGAGAAAATAGCAATTTTGTTTGCATTATTTTTTAGTGTTGCTCAAAAATAGGTATTTAATTATTCAAGTCATTGTCATAATCACACAACTAACTTTAGGCCCTAAATGTGTGGCGGCTTACTATATAATCCCATATATATATATATATTGGAAAGACCTAAATTCAGGTTGGACAGGGAAAAAATATTAAAATTGCCAGGTGTTTATCAGGGAAATTAAATGTTAAAGAACACATTAGTTTACATCTGGGGAATCATAGTCCTTCAACAGTAGACCTTCAAGAATTAGTCTGCAGGTGAGGGTTTTCAAAGCCTCATTCTTGGTTCATTTAATTACTGAGGTATTATGTGGTACGCTTTCTTTTCTTAGTTTGTTTGAACAGACTGTTTCTGAAGTAGAAAGAAAAATAGCTTCAGTGAATGTCATTTCAGTTAGTAATGGTAATAAAACAAAAAGCCTGATTAGTAACTCAAAGGAATGATAATAGTTTTAAAATTTTGATTTTTGTTGACCATTTCTACCCATAGAAAATGATAATAGTTCTTTTTTGTGGAAAAAATGTGAAAGATATAACAAGCTTAAAAAAAAAAGTTTTCAAAGTGATTTGAAGGACTTTCTTAAATTATTCTTTGGTAAAATATAGATTCTAATATCTTTTAAAGTGGTTATATGCCCTAAATGTGTAAATATAAGATATATCAGGGATGATAGTCTGGTACTTCAGAAACATTTTTTATTTAACAAATATAAAGATGGGTAGGTAGCTGTGATTATTTTCTCTTTTTTCGTACATTCATTGGTACATCTATTTGCTTAACTGCCAACATTATGTGTCTTCCTTATGTGTCTGTTGTTTCTTTACAGAATCAAAGAATCTTCAGGATGGCAACAAGTGTTTACAAGCCCCTATTTAGACTGGACTATTGAACGAGTGGCTCTAAATGCAAAAGTAGTTGGAGGTCCACATGGAGACAAAGACAAAATGGTTGCTGTTGCCTCAGAGAGCAGCATCATCCTGTGGAGTGTTCAGGATGGGGGAAGTGGAAGTGAAATTGGTAAGAAGACTCTTGTTTTTGTTGCATTTCACCTGCACATGTAATATTTTTTTAATTTTAGGAGGTATTGACCCTAAGTATGAAAACTAACATGTACTGTTTGTTAGCTAGAGCTGCCTCACCATTTTTTTCCAGGGCCCACTAGTAAGCGGACTACTTGGTGTGAAAGAAATGATATGGTAAAGAGGGAGGGAAATTTGATGCTTTAGAAAAGAGGGGAGCATCTTTTTAGTTTGCTCCAACTGAAATGTGGCTGCATTATGAGAATGTTGCTTTCTTGAGTTCTACTCCATGGTAGCTGGTTTTTTCCTACTCTGTTATTTCACGGGGCTTGAAGATGAGTTAAATTACTTTCTTATTCATCATTGTTACTTCTAGACCAGAAATTCTCACATATTTGTTCTCGCAACCCCATCAGGCTCTTGGAAAGTTGTTTAGGACCACAAAAAGTCGTTGTGTAGATTACCATTTATGCAGTATTTACCATACTGGAAATTAAAACTAAAAATTTATAAATATTAAAATAGTAGTAGTATATCCCTGTGTGATAATATAAGTAACATTTTTAATGAAAAATAACTGTTTTCTAAAACAAAATTTTGTGAGGAGAGTGGCTTTGGTTTGTGTGTTTATTTTGGGGTTCTGGGGAATTAATTCAGGTGTACTCTACCACTGAACTACATTCCCATCCCCTTATTATTTTGAGAGGATCGTGTTAAGCTGCCTAGCCTGTCCTCCAGCTTGCCTTGACTTCCTGAGTAGCTAGGATTATAGGTGTGTACCACTGTGCCTGGCTTCATTTATGGTCTTAAAAACCTCTGTAATGTTTTTTTTTTTTTAATTTTGATACATATTTCTCCATTCAGTATGCCATGTTACCTTTTTTTGGCACTGGGTATGGAATGCAGGGGTATTTTAACACCTAGCCACATCTCCAGTCCATTTTTTAAATTTTTGAGACAGAATCTCACTAAGTTGCTGAGGGTCTAGCTAAGTTACTGAATCTGGCCTCATACTTGTGATCCTCTTGCCTCAGCTTTTTGAGTTGCTGAAATTACAGGAGTGTACCACTGGGCCTGCCAATATATTGTTTTGATCAAAGTATACAAAGATAGGCTTTACACACATATGTAGTTAGAAAAAACTCATTTTTATTATCTTTTCAGACCATTTTGAATATTCTTGGATCTTGTTCCAAAATTCTGAAATGATACCATCTCACTTTCCATATTCTATAAAACCCATAGGTCTGTTTTATACTTTGAATGGATCTTTAATTCATGCTTGATTTTGTACATTGTTTGTTGGTCACTTGGAAACTGTTGGTTTACTGACTTATGTAGACCTGCCAAATGTTGATACCTGTCTTTATACAGTGTCAAAAATCTGCAATCCTTAGTGTTATCAGTGATCACATATCTGAACTCTGTTTTGGGAAGTTGTCATACATTCTGTGGCAAAGTTTCAGAGTACTAATGTTCACTTGATACTTTTGAAATTGAATCATAATTAACAAATGTCATCATTTCTTTTCCTTGAAATAATAGGCTTACTTTGTTCATTTTTGAGGAAAGTTCTGCTTTTTACCCATATCTGAATAGCTACAGTTATTCATCATTTCAAATAAAAATTGTATTCAATTGGAAAAAAAGTAGGTGGTGTTACTCTTAGCTTCATAATTATGAAGTTTTTTTCTTGTAATCTGCATCAAGATGAACTATATCTGTAGTTCTTAGTTCTACATAATATTAAAAAGACATATTTAAAATTGGAATTTAATCAATACAAGTTTTTACTGCTTTAGAAAGGATGTTTATGAGTTAAACTGGACTTTTTTTCTTTCCCTGAAAATTTGTGGCAGAGATTTTAATGACCACTAGTACAGATTAGTGCCACTGCCTTGATTTGTAGTAGGTTGCCTGCTGTTTATACCCAGCATTGATTTACATCATCAGTGAAAGCGTCAACACAGATGTTCTAGAATAAGCCGTGAGATTCATAAGTTTTCAACACTTTGTTGTTTCAGCATGGCTTATATTTTGTGTTCATGTAAAAGATCTTTAATGATTAGTTAATGTTGAGACCAGGTAAATACAAACAAAACATAAGGTCTGTATCTATTTATTTGTAAGACATAGATAGAATTTTGCAGATGAGATATTACCTCTTTCAGACATTTATTTTGAAGCAGTTAGTATCACTTAAAAGTGTTAGTGCTGTGATTTCTTAGACTGATTTTTCATCTAGAGCTTTGTCATTGAGCATTGTCATCTGTTCAAGATTTTTAGTAGTCTCCCAGAATGGGTGGATGGCATTTCTCCAGCCAGAGTCATGCCATAACTTACCCTGTAAGAGATTTTACTGCCTTTTCCAATTCTAATTGAAAGTCTATAGCAAATAACTTTCCAGCTCTTAAAGAGTTTCTTTCCTTAAACCCTGTTTGGCCTCAGTGAACCTGCAACTGATACAAGCTATTCAAGTGTTGTGTTGTATAAAATATAATTAGGTTAAGTTATTAGTATCTGTAAAGTTGAGAGATGATTTTTATATTTAAAACTTTTATTTATAGTTTTGCTCAGTTTTGTTTGTACCAGAAATTAAATCTAGGGGTGCTTAACCACTGAGCCACATCCTCAGCCCTTTTTATTTTTATTTTTTATTTTGAGACAGGGTCTCGCTAAATTGCTGAGACTGTCTTGGAACTTATGATCCTCTGGCCTCAGCCTCTCACGCTGTTGAGATTTTAGGAGTGTGACACCATGCCTGGCTTGACATGTTTTTTAGAGTCCTTCGTTCTTTAAATCAAAGAATTCTGATATGTCAAGTTTATTTCTTTGTTAAGTCTTTAGACTGAGATTGTGCAGCTATGAGTCAAGCAGGTGAATATTCTAATTTTCTTATTTTAAGCAAATGATACATCACTATGAGAAAGAATATATATTTAAACTAGATTTTTTTAAAAACAAAATATCAAATTTTGAACAGTTTTAGTTAAATTTAAAATTTTAGAAAAGTTTCAGAACATTTTTTATACTAATGTTAAAGAATACAACATCAATATATACCTCATGAGTCACTAAACAATGGGGATATGTCCTGAGAAATGTGTCATTAGGGATTCTGGCATTATGTGAACATCATAGAATATACTTAGACAAACTAAGATGACTAGTTTGTTACTAGATGTTAGTCTTTGGGTGTCGGGAGGGAGTGGGGGCTTGTCCTGGGAATTTATCCCAGGGGTACTTTATCATTGAGTCATATCCCCAACCCTTTTTATTTTTTGTTTTGAGGCAGGGTCTTGCTTAGGACTTGCTGAGTCTGGCCTTGAACTTTAGATTCTCATGTTGCAACCTCCTATATTGATAGGATTACAGGCATACACTGCTGTACCTGGCTAGTGGGAAAATAGTCACATAGGTGGTCTGTTGTTGACCACAACAGTGTTATGCAGCTACGACTGTACTTATTTCTTGTGTTTCTTTGTGGGTGCAAGGAAACCTTGGATTTCAAAATAATAATGCAATAGAAGATAATGAGGTTACAGAGAGTATGACAGGTAAAACTAAAGATAGACAGGAAGAGCACAGTATAAGTATTTAGAAACAGTTAAAAAATCTTGGGAAACTTACATAGTTGTATTCTTAACCTGCCTTCATAGATAATTCTAGAAAAAAATAAAAATACATGTACAGATTCTGCTAGTTGTCATACTGGTGACTTTGTCACATGTCATGTGGCCTCTGGAAAGCTCCATACACTCTTAGAAAATAAGAGTAAAGAAAAGACAAATAATTATTTAATATTACCATGAAAAAAGTTTTTAACTTCTCACATTTCCGGAAAGGGAACTGTGTTCCTCAGACCATACTTTGAAAATCACTGTTCTAGACCATTCTCCTTAACCTTTCCTCCCAACTTCCTTTCCCCTCTTCCTGGTTTTGAGTCTCATATCATCTGTAGCTACACTGAACATAGTCTTCATCTGCCATTTGGGTCACTATCCTTTCCTCCTTTGAAGTTATTAGCTCTGGTTCTCTAATGTAAAAATCCTTTAACTCCAGTGGGATCTCTTTTTCACTTTGCTTAACCCGGAAAAAACAAACCTTGGCCAGATCCACCTTTCTATCTCTGTGGCTAAATACTGCTAGGAAAAGAAATGGGCACATGGGACACACACACAAAGCACTAATGTTAAGTGAGCCTTTAAAACTACCCAACAATCTTGTATTATTCTTGTCAATTCTCTGTGACTCTCATAGATTTTTTATACTTTTTGCTTTCTTCCTAAGTAGTCAACACCTTCTCTTTTCATACTGAGAAAATAAAAAATGATTTTCTGTGTAAGTTCTTAGTATTATATCTGCTCATCTGTGTGTATTGGTGCTTACAATCTCTATTGTGCCCATTTGTTAACTGTGATTAAATTGTCTGTGTTCTCGAAAGCCAACTTCTCCAACTGCGCACTTGGTTCTAACTCCTCTTGTCTACTCAAGGACATTGTTCTAGTAGTTATCCCCACTCTCTTCTTCATCATACAGGCTTCCTACTGGGTTGAATCATTTCATCAGCATACAGTCATGCTATAATTCTCATTTTAATGGTGATTTTTAGTTACATTTTCCTGATTACAAATGATGCTCAGCACTTTTTCATGTGCTAGTGACCATTTGTATTTTTTTTTTCAGAAATGTCCTAAAGTATTGACTTTCTTTTTTATGAAGTTGTCGTCCTACTATTGGTTTCTAAGCATTCTTTATATATTCTAGATTTGATTGACATAACTGAGGGAAGCCTGTATCCTCCTCCCCCATGTCTTTCTTCCTTCAACCTCCTCCTTTTGAGACTGATATTAGAACATTTTATAGTGGCCTACAGGTCAGTGAAGCTTTGTCTCCCAGCCCCACCATTAGTTTCTGTTTTCTAGATACACTGTTTATCTACTTTTAATGGCTTTTGCCTGTTTTCTACAGTAATCAATTTATAATTAATCCTTTCTAGTGAGTATGCATTTGAAAGGTTTGACTTTTTAGTTGTAGAATTACTCCTTTAATTCTATTTTATAGTTTGTTTCTCTGCTGAGATTCATCTTTTTGGCTATTATGTTCCCTCTTTGTTAAATCTAACAAACATATTAATGGTTTGATTAAAGCTTTTGTCTGGTAATTCCAATACCCAGGTGTTTTGTTTCGGGTCACATTTTCTTGGCTCTTCACATGTTTAGGATATTTTGAGTATGTCTTGCACATGTGCCTGATAAGTTATATAGGGTTTATGGATTATGCTGCCTTCCTTTAAAAAATGTGGATTTTGTTTTGGCAAGTGGTTACATTATTATGGGAGGATTGTTTTGATCCTATTAGACTTTTGTGTGTGTGTGTGTGCACGTGCAAGCTTTGTTAGGGGTAGGTAGCCTTTTTCATCTTTATTTTTAATTTTTTTTTAAAAGTTGCCTTTCTGTAGTCTTAACCTGAGGTGTACAGCAAAGGATAACCACTTTCATTGAGCTGTAACTACTTCACATATGACCTCTCAGATCTCTAGTAGCTCTCAGTTCTTCCTATAGCAGCCTTTTTCTTTTATTCTTGGGATTCTCATCCTGACCAGCTGCAGTTTGGCCTTAGTAAGGAGCCAGGACCTTAGGGAAACCCCTGTGTAACTTTCTTCCCACTCCCATCCTGGCACAGTTTCCTGTGCTTTTCTTCTGTGTTTCCCATCTCTCAAGTACAACACTGCCTGTTGTCCAGTGCCTAAAAACACTGGCTGATGGGTCTTGTCTAGTTTTTGTTTGTGTGTTTATTTCAAAGTGAGGAATGATTGGGTACAATTTATTCCAGCGTAAGTTCTACCTGTCAACCTTAGAACAAATTTTAATATTACAGTTTTGAAATTAAAAACCCTTGTAATTATACAGAAAGGAGACCAGTTATTATTTTATTTTTTGCTTTTTCAAGTTGCAGTTTCTAATATAGCAATAAATGAAGGAGATTTTGTTTCAACTTTGTTTTCAAAGGATAACATGATAGGTAGCTATGGTGTGAGGTGGTATAATAGTGATTTGTTCATGCCTTGTAAAAGAAACCATTTGGTTGTTACAAATGTTCTTCAGATCTTGACAATACCACCCAGAGAAAATAGTTAGGGCTGGTGGATCCATGAAAGAGCTCTCCTAGAGACTGAACTCCCTTCATTATAACAGCACTTCTGGATTGCTGCTGCAAGCAATATTTTACTGAGCAGGCCTATTAAGACAGGAACTTGTCATTATTTGTACTCCTGTCTTCCCTATGGAAGTGGTCAGAATTCTTGACCCTAAGCAGGAGTGACACTTTAAATTTCATGAGACCATTAAGAATATCTTCCTTGATTTCCCAGAACCTCATCGTTCTGTAGAGTAATAAAAGCTAGTTGGTTTCCTCTTTTTATTTCTGCCTTTTACATAGACCACAGGACTGAATATAGTTAGCTTCACATATTTTGAAAAATTGTTTGGCATCAAAATTAAAGTTCCATGATGTGATAATCTCTAAAACTGTATAGAATGTAAGATAATTACTTTCTGCTTTGAAGTGAGAGGTTTATTTTTTTAACCAATTTTGATCAAAGGGCTTATTAGCCTTTTTTTTTGTGTTTTTATTTTGTTCTGTCTTTTAGGTTGTCTGGTTGGACTGAGGTGGTATATTCATGTGTATGTTTATGTAAATATCTTTTACATACAATTTAATTTAAATTTAAAACGTATAAAATTAATTAATTTGTAGAAATTAATTTAAATTATTTAATATGTAGAAATTAATTTAAATTTAAAAATATGTAGAAATATTCCTAGCACTTGCCAGTCTTCTTTTTTTTTTCTTTTTGTCTAGTATATGTCATCTTTCTTCCTGCTAGATGGCCAACTTTTTCAAAATTGATTAAGAATTTTCAATATGTTGAGTGCCGCTGGTCTTGTATGTAGTGTAGTCTTGAACAAAAAGAGAATACCTAGCACTGATTTGAAAGAAGTTGGTAATCTTTTTTAGCTTAGGCTTTTAAAATGCACTGCAATTGTATTTATTTATTTTTTTCCTGTGAATTCTTTAAGGCCTTTTATTTTTTATTTATTTAATATTTTTGCAGTATTGGTAATAGTACCAGGGCCTTATGCATGCTAGGTGAAGTGCTCTACCACTGAGCTGCATGCCCAGCCCTTCTTCAGGGCCTTCTGTGTCTTTTTTTTTTTTTCCTCAGTTAAATTCTGAGAAAATTGTTCATATATGCATACTTTTTTGAAATAAACTGATATTTGTAATAGCATAAAGACATAAAACAATATTTTATAGGTAAGACTTGTTTTATAGCATTATTAAATGAAAAGATAGTTCTCATAGCTGCTTTTCAGATAATTAAGATAATATTTTTTAAGTGTTAGAATTGAATTATGAACATTTTTAAGGTGAAAATGGTATTGAGACTTTTAACTTGGACTCTGTTTTGTAGGTGAGGTAAGTAAGAGCCAGAAAGGTGGCACACAAAAGTACGTTGAGAGAGGATTCCAGCCCAGGTTCTCCTGACTCTAGTGTAGTGCTCTACTAAAGATAGACATTGTATAGGGCATATATGCCATTCCAAAGTGAGCTTAGAATTCTTTGCTTAGCCATTTTTGTCTCTTTTTATATTAATATAGAATATTTGCTCCTTACAACCTCCTTCTCCTATACTCCCTCTTCCCTTCCCTCATATTCCTTGGGCTTACCCATTCCTAGTTGCCCAATTTGTTGAACTTCTGTTAACCTTTTCACAAACCCAACTCTCATAAGGCTTCTTTTCTAAGATATATTTTCAGACCCTTTACCTATTCATTTTTACTCCTCTGGATATTACTGTACCCTGTGTATTCTATTGTTATTTTTGCATTATATTATAGTTGGTTATTTGCAGTTTTCTCTCTGCTACACTGTAAGTTCCTAATAATTTCTCATTGTCTTGTGTTTTTTTTTTTTTTAATTCCAAGGCCTATTGTAATGTCTTTCAAATTAATTAAATTGAAATTGAAATGCTTGGAAACAGGTTTAAAATAAGCTCTGAGTAAAAGGCCTGAATGTTTGAGTATAATGTGACTTATTTCCAGATTTTTAGATAAATTCTGGATATTGAAACTGCCAGGTTTTTGTTCAGAACAGTGGTTCCCAAATATCAGGTCCATGAGCAAGCTGCATTTAAATTTCCTATAGATATAAAAATGCAGTGGGTTTTCTGATTTATTGGGTCCAGCATGGATCCTAAGATCCTTTTTATTTTGTTCACTTTAAATCTGCCAGGATATTTTGATGATCAGATAGAATTAAGAACCACAGCTCCAGATAATGAGATATTATAGCAGTGTGAGATGACTTGGAGCATACTTTGGTTAAGGAGTTCTATAAACTTCTTAAGAGCTTATCATGTTTGTATTTCTGATCTCTGAGTCTAGCACTTAATTTATATAAAAGAGAATGGATTTAAATTAGTCATCTTTAAGATGTTTTAAATATAGGTTTTGGCTAATTGTAAACATGGTCACTGGTTAACCTCTTTATTTATTCTGTCATTTAAGGAGTGTTCAGCCTTGGTGTTCCTGTAGATGCCCTCTTCTTTATTGGTAACCAGTTGGTGGCCACGAGTCATACAGGGAAAGTAGGAGTGTGGAATGCTGTCACTCAGCACTGGCAGGTTAGTTTTAACTGAAGCTTATTACAGAAATGAAAATATTTCTGAAACTTATGCTGGTCATGCATTTGTTTTTTTCCTTGTAGACTACATACTGTTTTTTATTATACATAATATTGAATATATTTAGATGCTTCTGAATACAAATTTTACTTTTTTTAAGAAATATGTTACTTTGGAAAATGAATAGTTTTTAACTGGCTTGGCACTTCTTTATTTCTTTGGATTCCTTTTACCTTTCATGTTGTAGACATGGTAGTCCAGGCAAACATCATTTTTTGTATGGAAGCACAGATCTGTATGAGACCGTGTGATCTGCTAGGCATGGTGATGCATGTCTGTACTCCCAGTGACTCAGGACTGAGGCAGGAGGATGGCAAGTTTGAGGCTAGCCTCAGCAATTTAGCAATGCCCTGTCTCAAAATAAAAAATAAAAAGGATTAGGGATGTAGCTTAGTTGTAGAGCACCTCCAGGTTCAATTCTCAGTACCAAAAAGAAAGAAAGAAAATATATGACCTGTTCAGAGAAGAGGGTAGGCTAAATATTCTGAAGTACCTGAGAAGAATAAGAAGATAAGACTAAAAAACGGTTACTACATAACTCTGAAGAGAAAAAATTAAGGACTCTCCAGAAGAATCCATGGTTTAGAAAATCAATACTGGTAGCTAAAATGGAAGGTGGATTGGAGACCATGGGGAGTCTACTACAGGAATCCTGCAAAAGGATACCAGAGTCCCAGCTAATGATAGTGGTCTCAGAGATGGCAAAGGTGAATCTGTTTGAAAAACATTTCTTAGACTTTCTAAAATGACAGGACCAAAATGTGGTTGAGCTGGGAAATTACAAAAAGAAAGGTGTATTTCTAGTTTTGGTTTTTCAGTTTTGACTGTTGAATAGCTAGCACTATTTTAAATTGATAGAGAACATGGACAGAGAAACATATATATTGGTGGGTAATGTGAGAAATAAAAAATATGCAATTCTTATGTGCATGCAAGTGCAGGTATTCAGAGGATAGCTGGGAATATTCCTTTGAAATTTAGAAAGAAGAAGGGGCTAGAAATAAATTCCAAACCCTTAATACCTCCTTGGTAATTTAAAAGATAAGAACTGATAACATTTTTCATTGAGAAAGGTATATAAAAGAACAGAAAACTCTAGAGGAACTAAAACTCAAAGGGGAACACATATGAAATAATTGAGAAAGGAAATTCATTTTGGCAGTAGGATATCATTTGCAAATAAGTCTTAATTAGGTTTTGGTGAGAAAAAGCCAGATTGCAAGAACTGAGGAACTAAAAGAGACAGAAAATTCAGAATTATCTTTCAAGAAGTGTGGTGAAAAAGAAAACCAGAAACAAAAATGACAATAATTAAGGCTAGATTGAAAAAAAGAAGCAGCAGCAGCTTGGTGCTATATTTTATTTTTTTCTCTTGGTTAAGAGATGCTTAAGACATGCTTATAGCCAGAGAGGGAAGTTGCAGAGAAAGCTCCTGAAGATTGAAAGAATGGAGATGATTTTTGGTCCCACAAAAGTCAGGAATGTGTGGAATCTGGAGCACAGCCAGAGAGATTGGGCCAATAGAGAGTAGAGACTTGTCTTTCTCTGTGATAGTTTAGGAGAAAAGAGTAAAAAGAAACACATTGGAAATATGTATCATAGATTATAAATTGTGTATCTGCAGTGGACCTGGGTAATAAGAGTTTTTCCATTAGTGTTCAGAACAAGAGAAAAGAAAACAGTATTTACTTGATTTAGGATTGAGTTTGTCTTAGTCATCTTTTGCATTTCCGTGACCAAAAAAACTGACAAAAACAGCAAAGAGGAGGAAAAGTTTATTTTGGCCATGGTTTCAAAGGTCTCAGTCAGTAGATGGCTGAATCCATAGCTCTGGGCCTAAGATGAGGTAGCATGGTGGAAGAAAACAGCTGAGGACATGGCAACACAGAAGCAGAGACAACTTGGAAGCTCACCAGGGACAACAGAAATCCCAAAGGCATGCCAGTGATCTACCTCCTCCAGCCATATTCTACTTGCCTATGTTGCTGCCCGGTTAATCCATTGAAGTGCATTAATCCACTAATTAAGTCATAACTCTCATAATCTTTCACCTCTGAAGATTTTTACATTGTCTCACACATGAACTTTTGGGTAACACCTTGTGCCTAAATCATAACAGCTTTATTAATGTGGATACCACATGCCAGGGAATGACAGATTGTAAAAATGTCAAGGTAACTGAAACAGATCAAAAGATGGTAATAAGGAAGTGCTTGGTAGGCAAAAAAGGATGCAGTGATGTAAAGGACTAGAGGGAAGATAAGCAGATTGATGACTTACAAGAAATAGACTTGTTGGAAGTATAGGGGGTTATTATCAAAGATATAATTTAAAGTTTTAGAGTTGGTGCAGGTCTCAATGATAAAGCCAGTTTAATTTGTTCAACTGACTTAGAGATAGAAGTACAGTCAACCCTCCATCTCCATTGATTTTTTTATCTACAAATTCAACCATCTATGATTAAAAGTTTCGAAAACAGAAAAACTGGATCTGTATTGATCATGTACAGAGATTCTGTATTGAACATGCACAAAGATTTTTCCTTAACACTTTTTCTAAAAGATAGAGTTTAACAACTATTTATATGTATATACATAATCTAGAGATGATTTAAAGTATATGGGAGGGTTATGTGTATGTTGTGTGTAAATACTGTGACATTTTATATTTGAGCATCCAAGAATTTTGGTATCTTTGTGAGTCTTGGAACAGTCCCCCATTGATACTGATGAGTGACCTTATTGCATTTGGGGTCAAGGAACTGTAAGGAATATCAATAGGTGCCAGGATATCAAGTACTAGAGAATGGGAGAAAAATAAACTGATCCAGGCACCAAGATTCTTAGTAAAGATGATAGGTTGATCTGAAAAGCGCATTCTGAGCAGAGTTGTGATGTGAAAGTTGAGGTTATGAAGAAACATTCTTGAGAACTTACAACTCTGAGATACTGGGGAGATGGTGAGAAAAACGAATGATTTCCAATTAAAGGAATCACAGTCCCAGGGAAATTGGGTTTCATTTTCAATGAAGATATAGAAGTCATGTTTGTGGAAAGAAAGGTTAGCTATAATGGACTTTCCGCATTGGCACAGCATTATACTGGTTGTCAGCATAAAAATAATGAGCCAAGGACTACTCTAGATGGTAGAGAGAAGTTGATCAGAAGGATTCTTTAGCTGGTGGTATTTCTTTAAAGAGGAACGTGAGTTTTACTGATTTATGGAAGTTCTCTGAGGTGGGTTACTTTGCTAATTATGCCAAGTTTCAGTTTTAATGGCGGGGAGAAAAAAAACTAAACTGTCTGCCATAAAAGTGCTAAAATATATTTATGGTTCATAAAGTAACATGCTTCTTGATTACCTTTTTTATTTTTTACTAACATTTTGAAACTATATATTAAGGTTTTAATATCTTTAAGATCCTGAATCCTGTACTAGTATCCTCAAAGTGGATAGGCAGGCTTAAACTTTTTGATCCCATATATAACCTGATGCTTCTTGCTTGGTGTATGCATGAATTAAAAACTGTATCTGACAAAGTAGATTTGTTACATATTTCAGGAAGACCTTGGGAAAGTTGACCATTCATGCTGCAAACAAGCCTTCTGACCCAGTTAACTGAATTTCTTTATGGTGTGTTGCAGAGGTGGAATGTAATAAAATCTCAGCTTCTGATATGCAGATCTCAACAGACAATTCTGACCGGAGGCTGACTCCCATGACTGCTGTAACACTAGTTGAATAAGTTGTGATTTGACCTTTAGCAATTGTTCTGCCCATGAGTTACACAGAAAGTATACAGGACAAACCTTGCATTTTTTATTCTAGATGTATAATCCAGATTGATTTAAAGTATTTGAATCAGATAAACCACTTAACTGTGTGTGTGTGTGTGTTAATCTGATATACTTTGTGTGTGTGTGTGTGTGTGTGTGTGTGTACTTAAGCTTAAAAGCTAATGTGAACCTTTTGTTTTTATAACAAATCTAATTTAGGTAAGAATAACTTTAAAGAAAGATTTCAGCTTATTCCCTTTTATAATCTCCTCCTTCACACAATATACACACACAAACTCACAATTATTCTAAAGATTAATAATAAAAAAGTTATTAGTGATGTCAGATACTAAGTCTTTGCTAAATTACATAGAAGAATAGTAACTTTTAGATAACATTTACCAAGTCATTGAGTTTAACTTTAAATATATTTTGGAAACATAGATTATGTATATTTTTTTCTCATTTCAAAACAGTGTGGGAAGCTAATCCTAGAAAACCTGTATAAAGGATCAGAACTCTCCTTGTGTCCGTTTTGAGGACTAGAGATCTTCAGTTAAATTTGTCATTTCACTGAGAGCCTGTCCTCTAAACGAACAGTGGAGACTGAGGAGGAAATATTGGCTCTTGGCCAAGAATTGGATTTTTATGGTCTTATGGGTTAGAATGGACAAGAATTAGGAAAGCTCATTTGATTTAGCTTCTCTCGCAACATAAGGCATTTCTAGCACTGACATCAAAAATGTTGTGTTATTAATAGGGTTTACAAATCCTTGCATGTTAGGAATAGGAATAAGGTGAGCATTGGAATTCTGAACCCACTATTCAGTGGGAGAGAGGATTGATTTTTAGGTATCTGTTATTATATAGTGACCATTGTCCTAGTATGTTATATTTACTTAGAATTTACAGTAAGATAATTGAATTAGCTGACGCAAGCTTGTCTCTCCCCTTTCTGCTTATAAAAATACTGGGTGCAAATATTAAAACTATATATTGCACTTATTTAAATGTTAAGTTATTTGTTTATGCACAGTTGCATCCCATGTATCAAGATAAAAGCTCTAGGGCTTAGAATTTTAGCAATAAAAGACATGGCTTCATGGGAAAGTAGAAATTGAGTATCTTGCAAAAATCTGAATCTTTTTAAAGGTCTCCCTCAGTCCCTAAAATGAAGACTGAAAAAATGTTATTCAATATTTTTGGAAGAAAGTTTTACATGTGTTTGGTTAGATTGAAAGTAGTGGTGCAGAGAGAAATCTTCCATGAGAAATCAAACCAAAATATTCAAATTAGGAGAACAAGTATGTAAATTAAAGCACAAAGCTATGCCTTTGTGGTATAAAACCTCCAATTTGAGAAACTCACATAGGACCAGTTACATTCCTAGATGTAAATACAAAACTAAATGGGACACTTTTACAAAAGAGGGCGCATAAGACATCCACAGAAATGATTTCTATGGAAAGTGAGCTCATAGCCCCTGGTTATTATGAACATAAAAATTATTATGAACGTAATCCTCAATAAAAGGACTAAAGAAATACTTTTTTGATAAAGATTATTATTTATATTTGAAGGGGAAGGAGTGTCACTCAGTAAGCAGTGGTTAGGAAAGAAGTTGGTATGCTGATAAATTTAGATAAGTGATTATTTAAAAAGTAATAGATAAAGGTAAAAACAGACTATAAAAATAATGATTTTTACCAGGATAGAGATTGTGGACAAACGTTTCTAGGGGCCTTATATTGTTGAAAAGATAAACATTATTTCTAAATTTTAAATCACTTAAATTTACACCAAGAAATTAACGTTGATTTCTGGGTGCTTCTTGAGGAGATAAAAATCCACTTCCAATTTATGTCTGTGACTTATGTGACTGAACCCAAAGTACTGAGCAGTGAAGTTTCTCTGGTTCCTACTTGACTTGGCAAGATAAGGAAGAGGAGGCCCCATAATGGCTCTCTCCTTATTTTTACACTCAGCAGTACTAACTTCTCTGTAATCCTACTCATCTTCTACTTTCTCTGTTCTACCAGTACTGAGGTATAGATGTGGGAAAAAAGCAGGATGTGATTAAGGATTGCAGTAAATGAGGTAAGAATGTGCTAATCCTAGAGCCCATCCTCCCAGAGAACAAATGATAAAAATGGTTTTCTTAGATGAGCCTTGGGAAGCTCTAGGCTGCTGCCAATCTTTCATTGAAATATTAATCTAATGGGAGAGGAATCTCATGGCCTTATCTGCCCCTATTTTCCGCTTCTGGGGTAGGAGTTAAAATTCTTCCTGTAGTGCTGCTGGAGCTAAAAGGATTCCAGCTGCCTGAGGTGAGAAAATGGTTCACTGGCATAAAAGCGTATTTTTTATTCCTGTCACTGAAAGGTTTACAGTGTCCACCTGCTACAGGACATGCTGACATTGGCTCTTTGAAAAGCCTGACCTGGAGTTAGGGTGTGGTGATGTGGTACTTTGCAGAGATATTTCTACTGTGGCTCATATCATGACACTGTGTACGTCTTGTATATGAATGGCTTAGAGGAATCATTATTTTAAAGTTTTCTCATTTGTTTATTTTTTAATTAAAATGGATTCTGTACTTTTTTACTTGTCGGGTCAAACATTCCCTTTCCCTTTCTCTACCTCACTCTTGGATGACTTCATTTTCCGATTCCACTTGAGCACTCTGTTGGCCTATGCTCTCACCAATACTGAGATGACAGTCCTTCCTCCCTCCTCATGACTATATTGCACATCCTATTTTCATGCCTCTTTTTCTATGATTGTTTCTTTTTCTTTCTCTCACGTCCCTTACCTCCACTTAAGTTCTTCGTTGTTTTCTTGGATAATATTTGGTACATAAAAGTGCACTCATTAAACAGATAATATTTAGGCTTTACCCTTTCAGATAAAAACCAAATATGACAAATAAAAGTTCTTTTAACATTTTTAAATTCCAAATCATTAAAAAAATCTCATTTTGACTTTTGTATGTGAAACTTGGTATTTGATATTTCTTTAAATGTCAACTATGAAGTTCACATCCCTTTCTGACTTGGCTGTAGAAAGGGAAGATTCATTTTAAACTCACTTGTTGCCACTTAATTTTTTGTGTTCTGTTTGTTTTTATTTTTATTTTGCTTTATAATAAAACTCATGTCATTTGTTTTTTATCTTAACATATATATAGGCAGTTATTAGTTTGCAAACTAGGTTGATTGGTTTGAAAGATCTATTTTTTACTCCAGTACAAATATAGGAAACTTTGTATGCCTGTCATTTCCTAGAAAATAGATGAAAAGCTTTAGTAAGGAGAATAAAAATAGTGAATGCTACCTTTCACAGAAAAGAGAATAAATTGTCAAGGGATCTAATAACATCTAAAAATCACTTCCTTTGTTTACTAGTTATAATTTTATTCCTTACTTACTCTATGACTTTGGGCAGATCATTTAATCTCAGAAAGAGAAAGGCTCAGAGGGTCTTATGAGACTTGGCCTTCCATTTCCAGAGGGCTGTGATCTAGTGACCACATGCAGCAAAAGGAGATATTCATCAAACTTCAGAAAGCAGAATGCTAGTGTTGGAAAAATAATTTTAAAAAAAATTAAAAGAAACTATATTGATGGCTTTTAGAGTTCCCTGTGGCATGTGTGTGTGCATGTGTACATAAAGAAGGTTTATTTTCTGAGCTCTACAAAAATTGGGTATTTGTTGCTTTTTATCAGAAGAATCAAAATTTTGAGGAAGTTGAGTGGAAAATAGAAATTATAATTACTTTTAACATCTAATAATTTCACCACATTAGGTTCAAGACGTTGTTCCTATAACTAGTTATGACACTGCTGGGTCATTCCTCCTATTGGGATGTAACAATGGATCAATATATTATATAGGTAAGTATATAGACACTTAAAATGCTCCTATTTTAATTATTATTTAAGTGAAAACAGGAAAACATTACTTTTAAAATTTTAAATAGATATATTATTTATTGCTATTTAAAATTTTTATGTTTTAGATATGCAGAAGTTCCCTTTGCGAATGAAGGATAATGATCTTCTTGTAACTGAACTCTATCATGATCCTTCAAATGATGCTATTACTGCTCTGAGTGTTTACCTCACACCCAAAACAAGTTAGTACATGGCCATTTATTGTAAATTTCTTTTGAGAATGTGTTTTTATTTATAGTTGACTATGCAGCTGGGTAAAACTAACTTGGTGCTTTCTTATTGTTCTTTTGCATTTATGTTGGTATTAAAATAACTGATTTTGCTTTGAAATTAGGAGCTTTAATTTATTAATAGTAGCAGCAGCAACACCAGTGAAGCAATCTTTGAAGAGTATGTGTTTGAATTGGAATTTTTTTTCTTTTAATTTTAACCCAGGGCATTATGCCTACTAAGTGAGCACTCTACCATTGAGTTACACTCCCAACCCACCTTGGGAATTTTAAAATTTAAGTTATGGAAAAAGACATTTTATTTAGAAGTTAAATGTGTATAACTTCGATTTCCTTTCAGAGGCCATTGTAATAAAATTAGTAGACTGCTTCTGTAAATGTTAAGAATTTTTGAATTCATTAAAGGAATGACCTTTATTGTGAAAAAATTTTTCTAGTGTAACAGATGAATGGGATTGAAATTGTAGTAGGATTTAAACTATATTGCTCTTGAAGAAAGGTCAGCAAACTGTGGAATGCTGCCCCAGCCAGCTGTTTTTGTTAAAAGTTTTATGTGTTGTCTATGGTTGCTTTTCTGTCTCAGTGAGAGTTGAGCGGTTGTAACAGAGTCAGTATGGCATGCAAAATTTAAAGTATTTTCTATTTGTCCTTTTATGGAAAGTTTTCCTGCCCCTGCTCTAGAAATAATAGAATGGGTTGTGGGTCCCCCCCAATATAAGTGGAGATAAAACTAGGAAAGTTTTATAAATCAAAGCACTTTTGTTTTAGGTCACTGAGCTCCATCTTGTCTTTAAATTCGTAATGGAGTCTGGCACTTATTTAAAAAAAAAAGAAGAAGAAGACGACCACAGCTGAACCTTACATCATTAGAAGAAGCAGTATAAGAAATATAATGAGTGTATTTATTCCATAGTCTAATGTTTTGAAACTGTTAAGTATTAATTAGTATATTTAATACTTGATTATTCAAGAATGATTCAGTATTGTGACAAGTAAAAGGGATGTTCATTCTAGGTGAGAAGTTATATGGAATATTGTTTTAGTGGCAGTCTTGGCATTGCAGACTTACTAATTCATTAAACATGTATTGAGTACCTTCTGTGTTTCATTCACTCTTTAAGGTGACAAAACAATGATTATGATTCAGTCCCTTAACAATAAGGAATAGACTCAGGTATACATGAAAAAAAAGTGTGGGATTAGTGTGTTATTACCATGATAGAACCTAATGTATAGTACAAGTGAAGAGGTGAGCAATTTATCTTGGAGCAAGTGTTAGAAAAGATTTGTAAAGAAAATATTGATTTTAAGATGGCAGAGATGTCTTAAGATTTCTTTGAGTGGATTTTGCACATAAGCTCTGAATCCTATTCTGCATCTGATATCACAGGGAACTTTGCAAGGGTAACTTTCTTTTTATTTTTGCCTAATATACCACGTGTTGACTTTTGACTTTGTGTAGGTGTCAGTGGTAACTGGATTGAGATCGCCTATGGTACAAGTTCTGGAGCAGTACGAGTGATTGTACAGCACCCAGAGACAGTTGGGTCGGGTCCTCAGCTTTTTCAGACTTTCACAGTTCACCGAAGCCCTGTTACAAAAATCATGCTGTCAGAGAAGCATCTTGTATCTGGTAAAGTGATTCTGTTAGTACCAATAAGCAGTTCCCCCTTGTGAACTTTTGCCCTGTGCGTTATTTTCTATACTCTTACAAACTAAGACTATTAGCAGAGTTTTATGTGAGGAAAATATAGTAAAAGAAATGATAGAAAAGTTTAATAACTGAGAAATGTTATGACTGTTTTTAGATTTCTTTGACTTTGCCTGGTTGTAGGATATACAGATTTAGGAGCTATCTTATCTCTTATTTATTCTCTGTTGTAATATTTTGTTCTTATGGTATATTTTATTTGAAAATATTTATAACCCTGTTGAATTTTTTTACTTAGAAGCTTTATAAGTTTAATTTTTAATATAAATTTGGTTGATTATCTTATCAACCAGTATAATGCTAAAGTAGATTTAGATGTCTATTTTACTGTTTGATCATCATAAAAATATTGAGAATTAGTAGATTGTATAAAAAGATTATTTAAAAAATAATATTTTTGTGGGTTTGTGGCTCCTTATAGCCATAAAAATTTTTAAATGATTTTATATAGTCACATATTTGGATCCTAGATATATGAAAATTGGATACTAATTTTGTTGTTTAACAAGTACTACTTTTTGATCACAAAGTAAAATTCCCTTAAGAAATTCGTTGTATACAATAGATTTCTAAAAAAACTTCTTGAATAATGTGTTAGGTATATCAGTCGAGTTTGCTTTTTAGAGGAGTCTAACATTTACCTCTTTTGTACAGCAATTCCTGTCCAACTTAAAATTTTTATGAGCATTTTCCCACAATGTGTTTGTTTATTTAAGAATGTCTAAAAGGTGATACGTTTTTCTCTGTATGATCAAACACCAAGTGGAGCCAAAATCTTGTCCATGGATGAATAAATGAACACACGTGTCTGATTGCTTGGGGTGTAAGTAGGCCTTCCTAAAACAGTCTCTACTTCAGGCTTTCATAAAGCAATACTCATCTGACACTCACCTGCCCCACTGGGGAGCTGGTTTCTCTTTTGTCCAATTGCTAAATGTTGGATTTCCCTGGAGGATTTTTGTTTTACTTATCTTATCTGGTGATTTGAGTAGTAATTATTATGTATATTGACAGTTACCCCATACTTCTTTGACTTGTGGTCATCCAGGGAGTGGAAATTTGTGTACCTAGTGTCTGTATCACTGGATTACATTTAATAGGCAACTCAAATTGAATCTAGATAAAACAGAACATTTTAATGATTGATTAGCTGCTGATTCAAAAAACCATACAAGTATTAAAATATTATTATCTATTCATTTATTTAAAAAAATATAGGAACTGCTCTTGATTTTTCTTTCATGTTTTCCATCATGTACATGCAATCCAACAATAAATTATATTGGTTTTGCTGCATCCTGTGTCACAAATCTGATGGTTTTTTGTTGCTACCAGTCTAGTGATTCACATTGTTATCATTTTTCCTTAGGTTATTGTAGCAGCTTGTCAACTCTTACATGTTTTTATCTTGCCTCTCTGTGGTACATATTCCACACAGTAGGCAGAAATATCTCTTAGAAATATAATCCAGACCTGATATCCAATGGCTTCCTATTGTATTTAAAAATAAATTTAAATTTCTACCATTGCCTGTGTGGCTTTTCCTATTCTAGATCCTATTTACCTTTCAGGTTGCTTCCTAATTCCCCACCTATGTTTCTCTTGCTCAAGACCTTTCTGTTTCCTAAAGATGTTTTAGAATTTTTGTTCTTTATTCATTTTATTTGAAATATTTTGCTTCTGGATATGTTTTGGCTGCTTTCTTGTTACTCAGGTTTCATTTCAAATACCTCCTCAGTGAGGGTTCATTGGCCACCAGTACAAATCAGCTAAACCTCTATCAACAGTAACTTTCTCTAATAGTTTGTTTTCTTTGAAGACTTATCATTTGATCATTTATGTGTTCATTTAACACCTATTTCCCTCTTCAAGAAAGGAGGTTCTACGTGTAGGAACTTTTGTTCTCTCACCTTTTCTCAGCACAGTCCTTGGCACATGTGCATAAACAGATGCATAAAATAAGGCAATTTAATTCTGTGAGAATATAGACTATTTTGTCAGTAGTTGTGATATTTAAATGACAATGCCTAGAGATAGTAGCAGTTGCTGTTATTTTGGTGGTTGTAATGTTATTGTAGGATGTGATGCTAAAGAACTGCTTGTTATAATTTGTATTTTAACATGAAAATTTCATGTGGGTTTGAAATTTAAATTGGCTAATCAAGAAAATTATCTAGTTTACTCAAAAATCTTGAGTTCTTCATGTATTCATATTTATGTTTTTCTGCTACCTGGTGGATATTAGTGTAAATGTAATCACTTTCTTTCTGAAATAAAAAATTTTACTTAATTAATATTAACAAAATTGTCCTTATGACTCAGTTGAGTCAGCCAAAGGTATTTATTTTTCTGAATCCCAGTAAACTTAATAGTGAAAATCAGGAATTTTTTCCCCATGTAACTGATTAAACAGTCTGAAACTAAATGTTTCTTTTTTTTTTTTTATCAGAAAAATGCTCTGAGAAATGAGAATTTTGTTGCATCAGAATAAAAAATAATCAGAAGTTACTTGTTGCTGTTTGCTAAAACTAGATCATTTTTCTAAAGTGTGGTTTAAAATACATAACTGATATTTCATAAGGAATGTCATTTTATAAGAAACCAGTAGGAAATGGTATGTGTATATGGAAGAAGTTTGGGATATTTTATAAGTGTTTACTGATGAGTTTGTAGCTCATTGTAACATTAACAAATTTTCGAAAATCATTATAAATGGAAAATTAGTATTTTTTTTACAAAGGCATACCAAAAATGTAAGCAATAGTGATATTATTTTTTGATGTAAAATTTTTAATAGAGTACCTATTCAGACAAAAAAAAAATGGAGATAGACTAGGAAATATCTCATTACATGTCCATTGAATAGTATTTAAATTCAAAAAACAGACTAATTGGAACAAGTTTCTTAAAGCACACTCTCAAAAATAATGCTGAGCTCTAATATAGAATTTTGATGTTCCTTTATATAACTATGAGTAGGCAATAAATAGCTCCTGTTCCTATATTTGACAAATATAATTTTTAATAATAATTTTTATGTAACTCTTTATCTAGACTATTTAACATTTGAGTAATATTAGCAGAAACAGTTTCTAAGTTTTAAAAAATAAGCTAAGCAACTGTTAACTCTGTAGTTTGACCAAAGAATAGGCTAATCAGTATTTTCTTGGATAATCAGTATTTTTTCTCTTATGTATACATTTCTTTAACCTTTCCTATATTTAAACCTTACAGTCTATTTTTATAAGAAACCATATATTTAGTGATCTACCTTATATTTGTACCTTTTTCAGCTAGGTACAATTTGAGTATAATTCTATGATAAATATGTCATTTGCTACTTAAAATGTACTAAGATCTATTTAATGTATATCATAGTGAAAAGCTTAAATGTGTTTAAAAAAGTGATTTTGGTACTGCCCTTATAATCTGTACTTTGTAACCTTTTTGTGTTCTTTTTCTCTTCTAGTCTGTGCAGATAATAATCATGTCCGCACATGGACAGTAACACGATTCAGAGGAATGATCTCTACTCAGCCAGGTTCCACTCCTTTAGCATCATTCAAGATATTGTCTCTGGAGGAGACAGAAAGTCATGGTAGCTATTCCTCTGGAAATGACATAGGTAAGTTAGGTTATTTGGGGGAATTTTCAAATATTATGTGGATAGTTCAGAAGAAATATATCAACTATAGTAAATCTAAAAATAAATTTTAAATATGAATTTTTTATTTCAATTTTGAAACTCAAAACAGTTTTAGTACATTTTTCTCATTAGATTCTGTGAATTCATTTATAATATTGAAGTATTTTTTCATTGTTTAAAAAGTTATATAAGATGGGCTGGGGCTGGGGCTGGGGCTTAGTAGTGGAGTGCTTGCCTGGCACGTGTGAGGCACTGAGTTTGATCCTCAGCCCACGTAAAAAAAATTAATAAAGTTATTATGTCCATCTAAAACTAAAATTTAAAAAAAAAGTTAAGAGCAAATGTTTTATCTTATTAGTGTTTCCTCACTTTATGTCATCTTCAAATGCTAGCAACTTTTGTTTATAACTAAAACTATAATATCTGTGTACATTTCAAACTTAATATTTTTATTTTAGCTTCCATTCTTGATATTAAAACTTTTTTATTTTTTATTTTTAAAATTTATTTCGTACATACATGAAACTTTTTATTTTTTTAAATTTATTTCTTACATACATGACAATATTGGAATGCATTATATCCATTATTATCCATTTCCAGCACAATTTTTCATAACTCTGTATATAACATATGTTCATGCCAAATTTTGCCATTATACTCTTTTTTTTTTTGCATTACAATTCTTAATACACATTATACCACAATTTATCATATCTCTGTTTGTATATAAGGTATGTTGACACCAAATTCACATCTTCGTACATGTATTTTGTACAATGATGACCATCAAAAACTTTTAATATTTTTATTTGATCTGAAAATAAAATTTGCAGCTAGAAAAAGGCTGATACTTTAAAATAATCAGTTATTTTGATGGCATTATAATATTCATTAGGAAACAATGTATTATGTCTTCATTGATGCTCTGATTTCAGTAAAAGGCATGCAAAGTTAATCGTATTTGTCTCTATACTATACATACTATGAATGAGAACTCACATACACACAAATACATATACAGAGTCATCATGGAGACAGATTATTTCCCACAAGGGCTCATTTGAAAGAATCTCCTATATGTGTAATTGTATCTTACTATTCCTACAATAGTTCTCTAGAAGCTATTGGTTACCTAATATACCTTTCCAGTTATTTTATGTAAGTGAAAATTACGATAAAAAGGAGTACATTAGAATTGATTTTCTATGAATTTTACATATACTGGAAATTTACGAATATGTTCCCATAGTAAAGATTTCAAAATGCTTTAAAACAATTGTACTACCTCAGTCTTAGTATATTTAGTAAAAATAATGTTCATTGCCTCAGTTTTAGCAATTGCTGTGTGATCTTATTTCCCTACATGTTGCTGGGAACTGGAAGTTTGTATTTTTTTAATCCAACAAGTGATTATTTAGTAGTTTTTCTCCAGGCATTAGGAATCTAAAAAAATACAGGACAGTGAAAATCAATTGATAGTACTTGCAGTGGGAATAAAAAGAAAACAATCGCATTTTGCGCAATTATGCTTAAGGGCAAGGAGCTAAAAGCACTCAGCAGAGATAGCAACAGTATATTTATAATCTTCTTGACGTTAATATGAAGTAGATATTATCCCTACTTAGCATTGATGAAAACTAACATTCATAAAGAACACTTTAGCAAGGTCTTAGTGTTTGAACTGACACATGCAGCATGAGTAGGTTTTTGTTGGATTTTGGAGATTCTAGAGTTGGAACATTTATGCTAGAACAAAAAGAACATGTTAAAAGAACACAGGCCCAGAGAACCTGGAAAGTTTGGAAAATGTCAAAAAGGTCATTAAGTGCTGGACTATAGAATATAGGGATAAGACTGGGTTGATAGGCAAAGGCCACATAATGGAAGGCCTTTCTGTACAATAAACTTAGGAATTTAGATTTTATCTTTATAAGTAATGGGGAGCTTTTGAAGAATTTTGACAGTGATACCTAATTAGTGTTATAGTTCATTTTTCATGTGCATGTCCAAGAAGGCTTAGAGAACTGTGACGCAAGGCACCCATTATTAGTTATCAAAAAAAGAACTCATTCAGTAAGAACTGAAGGGCAGGCTGGGGTTATGGCTCAGTGGTAGAGCACTTGCCTAGCATGTATGAGGCACTAGGTTTGATTCTCAGCACAACATATAAATAAATAAAAGTTCATTGACAACTAAAATTATATTTAAAAAAAAAAAAAAAACTAACAGGCATGGTGGTGATTGATCATATGTGGTAAGTTCAAGAGAGGTTGGAGTCTAAGCTGACTCAGGGGTCTTACTTGGGAAATGAAGTAACTGAATTCTGTTAACTGAAATAAAGAAATATAGAAAGCGGGGCTTATTTTGAAAAGGAAGGTGAATTTAGATGATATATTTTGAGCAGTGGTGTCTGTGGATATTCCATGATATGAAGGGATGAGGGTAAGAGACCTTACTGGAAATTATGTTTATGAGTCATCAGCATTTAAGAATTAGTGAAGCTGGGATTGGTGGTGTATGCTTGTAATCCCTGTGGCTTGGGAGGCTGAAGCAGGAGGATTGAGAGTTCAAAGTGAGCCTCAGCAACTTAGCAAGGCACTTAGCAACTCAGTGAGACCCTGTTTCTAAATAAAAAAAGAATGGCTGGGGATAAGGCTCAATGGTTAAACACCCCTGGGTTCAATCCTCAGTACGAAATAATAATAAGCAGTGAAAGCTCTGGTAGGGATTGTTCAGGGAAAACAAGTGTAATGTGAATATAAAAATAACAAACAATTCTGTGAATTAACTTTAAAGCCCACTAAAATAAAGGGGGCAGAGAGATTTTTATTTCCTCTTATACTTAAAATTAATAAATAAATAATGTAAGGGATGGACAAACAGAACAGTGGAACACAGTTGAGAATGCTGTGGGTGAAATCTAGATTGCAGTGGGTAGTGGATTAGTAGATATTGGAGTTGACCATGAAATTAAAAAGTTAAAAGGCAAGTAGGGAGTTCAGAGCTCAGTTTTGATTCCTCTTCCTGTCTCCCCACCAAAAATAGAAAAGATATGAGCTTATTTTGTGTTCCAAGGAAGGTGCCAATTTGGGAGAGTTTGGAGAATCTATATATTGGTTGAGGTCATCAGATGATTAAGGTATGAAGAGTTAGGTTATGGGAGCATTTAATGTGAATATAAAGTTTAAGGGGAGTGAAGATACAGTTCCATAATCTTCTCAGTCCTACATATTTTATTCATCATTACTATTTTACTATTTTGACTTTGTTAACAGTTATTGAATGAGGACTATCATTCCCAATAGACTTAGACATCAGAAGGTTCTCCAATAATTCAGCAACTGCATAGTTTAGTGAAGAGCCAGCAGACTGGAACCATATAGCTTGGGCTCCTCGGAGTTCAAGCTGTGTTTTAGTGAGCTTTTTTGATTTTGTGACTAAAAGGATCTGACCAGAACAACTGTAGAGGAGGAAAGGTTTACTTGAGGGCTCATGGTTTCAGAGGTCTTAGTCCAGAGAAGGCCAGCTCCATTCCTTGGGGCTTGTAGTGAGGCTAAACACCATGGCAGAAAGAGTGTGGCAGAGGGAAGGAGCTCACATCAGGGTGATCAGGAAGGGGAGAGAGAGACTTTACTTGCCAGATACAAATACATACTCAAAGCCATGCCCCAATTCCACCTCCTTCAGCCACACCCTACCACTTTAGTTATCACTCAATTAATCCCTATCAGGGGATTAAATCAAAGATTCTTAGAATCCAATCATTTTTTCCTCTGAACTGTTGTGCATTGTCTCACACGTGAGCTTTTAGGGGGACAACTCACATCCAAATCATAACACGCTCTATCCCAGAGGACCTATGAGACCTCTGGTGAGCTAGTCTCTTGGTGCTTTACTTTACTCATCTGTAAAATGGTGATAATAATATGACCTTCTTTACATGGTTATTATGATTATTAGGGTGAATTAGTACTTGATGAATAAAGCACTTACACTATGGCACATAGTAAGCAAAATAAAGTACTACTTATAAAGATATTTCATTTATTAATGATTATATGAGATAATGATTCAAATTATCTCATGATTCATATGAGATAATTTGGATTATTGTCTTTAAAATTTTTGTTGTTTATCATATGCTTCATATGAAAATAAATTGGTACTTTAGCTAATGAGTATAATAGGAAGACATTTATTAAAATTGTGTCTTTAAGTTTTGCATATTAACAGTTTTTCTTATGTTGTTGTTCAGAATCTTTCTAAAATATAATAGGTATGTACCTGCCTTGCTCAGTACAATAAAGTGAAAATAATTGAATCTGTCTTTGTTAGATTGTGTGTACCTATTCCAAAAATCTAAATCCCAAATGCTTCAGTATCCAAAACTTTTTGAGCCCCAACATGAAAAGTAGAAAATCCTATACCATGAAACTTTATTTCATGTACAGAATTATTAGAAATATTATATAGTATTTCCTTTAGTCAATGTATAAGGTGTATGTGGAACACAAATTTCATATTTAGACTTGGGTTCCATCCCCAAAATAGCTCATTGTTGTGTATATGCAAATTTCCAAAATCTGAAAAAATCCAAAATTTGAAACACTTCTAGTTCCAAGAATTTTGTATATGGGATACTCAACCTGAAGTAGATTTCATATTACACTTTGCTGCTGATGTCTGTTTTAGTTTACCAATTACTCTGTGAAGTTGTTTCTGTTCAGTGGCGTTAAACAGAATTATATTTTTGATTTTTGCATGTTGGCTTTTCAGAAAAGTAAAATGAATACATGAAGTGACTGACTTTGTACATTCTCTCCCCTTTTGGGGGGTAGAGTGGGGGCTGTTGTTGCTTTAGTGCTAGGGATCAAATCCAGGACCTTGTACATGCTGAGGGTGTATTCATTCTACCTCTGATCTATACCTCCATATCCCCTTTTTAAGTTAAAAGAATCTAAGTACATCCCCAAAGATAGTAAATATTTTAACAGCTCTCCTTCTAATGCTGTTTAATGTGGCTCTTTATTCAGACTATTGCCTTCAGCTTTTATAGTGTTAGTACATAAAATATAATTTTGAATTATTGTGTATTCTAAAAATGTTAATGCAAGTTGAATCGTTGCATTTTTGTGTCTGATTTTGACTTGAAACTCAATGCTAAACTAATAGTGTGAGAAATTCTTTTTGGTAGAGGGGTATTAATATTAATGTTCCTATTGTAAAATTAAATTACATTCTAATTAACTTCTTTTGACATTTTCTGTTGTATGACCAAGGGCCTTTTGGAGAACGAGATGATCAACAGGTGTTTATCCAGAAAGTTGTTCCCATCACTAACAAACTATTTGTGAGACTTTCATCTACTGGGAAAAGGTAATACTTTACTCTAAAGATGAAGAAATGCTATCTTACAGAATGCATGGCATAATATATATTGATGAAAGAGTGCAATAGAAAAATTGAGAGACATCTATTCATTATCTCATTATTATTATTATAAATTAACATTAAAACAATTTACTTAGCACTTACTCTCTAAGATTCATTAAGATTTTTACAGATGCTGTGGACAGGTAGGAAGAGCTAGTGATACAATAAAAAAAAAGGGACATAGTAAACTTCTTTCATGTCCAAACATAACTATTTTTTCTTAAAAATATTCAATTTTTTCTTAAGAAAACAAACACTCTAGAATGTAAATATTTCCCATCTCATCACAAATTGTATACATTATATCATAAAATATATTACAGGTTTTCTGATAGTGTTCCCTTGTAGAATAAAAATGATAAAGCAGTTAAACCTTGATCAATAATAATTGTAATTTGCATAATCTTGGCACAGCTTACCATTTAGCACCCATTTCATTTCGTATTTTATAGCATTTACCCCCTTCTGTCGACGTGAATATAGAAAGAAATTGTCTCCATGAGAACAAGAATGCTGCCTTTATGTATTTACCTCCTGACTTGCACAATGAGAATGCTGCTGTTATCATTATATGATACTGGCAGTATTCTTCTGATTTCATCTTCAGAAATGATTTCTATTCAAACATTAAGTGAAGAACAGTGAATTTGATACAGACAGATGAATAAAATTCTAATTTTGGCACTCCTTTCATTGGCTATAAGCTTAAGTTACTTTGTTTTTCTTAGCCTTGGTTTCTTTACAAAATAAGGTTCAACTATTTTGATGGTGTAATGTGACAAGGTAAAATGAGTCAAAAAATGTGAAATATCTTGCATAATCCCTTACTATAATAGTTGTTCAACAGAAGTTTTTCTCTTCCTTTTGCATTGACTGAAATTTTATTTCCTTTAAAATATTATTTGTAACCTCAGATTGGCATTTCTTTAAAAACTATTTTTTGCATGTTAAACAAGTGAAGAAACTAAAATTCCTCTTCAAGAGTCATTAAGCACATTATTAGTTTTCTTTTTAATGTTACTTATGCTATTGATGTTTTTAAAATTTCTTGGTTGCCTTTTTTCAGCATGTTATAAATCATTGTGATTTAGTGTTCAGTGCATATTTATTGAAGAAGCTGCCAAATGTTTATTTAAACTATTATGCTCTGATAATGTAGTATATCTCTATATTAATTTTTCACATCACCCTCTTCTGTTATTTCAGACATTATGTAATCAACTGCAATTTTTGCATGATAAAACAAATTTTATTTATTTTTAAGTGTATCATTCCAAAGGAAGTCCTATAGTTATTAAAATAACAAGCAGAAGTTATTTTGTAGAATCAAATAGAAGACCAGCCCTTTATGAAGCTTTTGTAAACCAAAGTGTGCTATTTAAAGAGAATTGGGATTATAAACAGGGAAAAGTAAAATGAAAGGAAATACTTGTAGAAAAATTTGAAGACATATCCTAAGGAGTCTATCCTATACAAAAAAAAGCAAAATCATTTGTATTTTCATGCATATATAAATGTTGATGTGTTTATTTTAAACATAAGACAAAAATCTAGCTTTAAAAAAAATCAATTTACAAATATTATTAAAAAATACATGTTATTCACCTTGTTAACAGTATTAAGAAAAGTTATCTTGATAAATAGAAAAAACATTTGACAATTACACACTCATTTATGATTTTTTTTTTAAAGAGAGAGAGAGAATTTTTTTTTTAATATTTATTTTTTAGTTTTCAGCGGACAAAACATCTTTGTTTGTATGTGGTGCTGAGGATTGAACCCAGACCGCATGCATGCCAGGCGAGCGCGCTACCGCTTGAGCCACATCCCCAGCCCACATTTATGATTTTTAAAAATTCTACTGGGGTTGTAGCTCAGTGGGAGAGCACAAGACTTACGAGTGAAGCACTGGGTTCGATCAGCACCACTTAAAAAAAAAATAAATAAAGGTATTGTGTCCATCTAACAACTAAAAATAAATAAATAAAAAACATTCTGTTCTTTAAACCAAAAGAGGGAAATTCCTTAATCTACTAATGTCTAGGAAATAATTGTTTCAAACCTCAGACTCAGTGGTGAAAAAAGCATTTTCCTTGAGATCAGGAGTGAGACTAGAATAGCCTGTTTCACCTTGTATATGGGCATGTAGGAATTTGCATCCCTCCCCACACCGCACCCCGCCCCCTTTTGCCTTGCCTACTAGGAAGTTGACCTAAGCTTCACATTCTGTTCCTACTATGTTTCTCATATTTATTTGGATGGTATTTCCTCTTCCTCCTTAATTTTCACCTTACATTTGCTTGGTACTTATTGTTTCTTTCTTTCTTTTTTCTTTTTTTAAATAAGTGCCTCAAACACTGTTATGAAGTAAACTGAGATAAATAATTCACTGAATTATAATTCATCTAACCCTTATGGCTTTGGGAAAAATCCTTTGCTTACATTAGCCTTTGGTTTCCTCATTTGTCAGGGTGGATAATAATTGTTCCATTTCAGGCTCTTTTATCCTTTTTGAAAATCAATAAATGGCTATAAAACTGCTTTGATAAGGAGTGTCTTAATGGAGAATACAACATTGGCTATCTCTGTCTCTATAGAGAGGTGTAGTTTTCCTGGTTTCAGATTTTTAAAATTTGCATATAAATTTTAATGTCTTGAAAAAGATCTTTTCTATCATGCTTTCTTTTTTCACAGCTTCTTTTTAAAGAATTGTTCATTCTCATCAAAGCTCTGTTTTTTTTTTAACCTAAGGTATTGCTTTTTTTCTGTTAGTTTATACATTGTTTTCTCTAGTGTCAAAGAAACAAAACTTGAATTTTCTTCATGTTGACTTTCTTTGACCTCTATGTACTCAACTGTATCTTTGCAAATAAGAACAGAACATGTTAACTATTAAGATGCTATTTCTTCCCCCAGTTATAACTGTACAATGTCTTTTGCAGAATATGTGAGATCCAAGCTGTTGACTGTACTACAATATCCTCATTTACAGTGAGAGAATGTGAGGGATCCAGTAGGATGGGCTCAAGGCCAAGGCGCTACTTGTTCACAGGCCATACAAATGGCAGCATTCAAATGTGGGATCTGACCACTGCTATGGATATGGTTAATAAAAGTGAAGATAAGGGTAGGTTCCCACATGGAAAGAAGTTTGTCACCGGGCAAGCTTTTAACATCAGAGATTATAATGATTGTTTGCTTTCCTAAGATGTAGGTGGTCCAACTGAAGAAGAACTACTCAAATTACTAGATCAATGTGATCTCAGCACATCTCGCTGTGCTACACCTAATATTAGTCCAGCAACTTCTGTGGTTCAGCATAGCCGCCTTCGAGAATCAAATTCTAGGTAAGTTGAAGAGCTGGGTATGATTGTTTTGGGGAAAATTAACTGACATAATCACATAGTTGTTCTAAAAGCCATATTTTTAAAGCAGTGCAGACTTTGTTAATATTCTTGTTTTCTATTTTAGCAAATTTCTTTATCTATATACATTGGGCATTGTCTGGTTCTTTTCATAGGAAACCAGTTTTTTCTTTCTTTTTCCTTTTGGTTTGGGGGGTTTTGTTTGTTTTATGGCTGAGGATTGAACCCAGGGTTTCATGCTTAGTACTAAGCATGCATTCTACCTCTGCATTCTAACCCCAGTCACCACTTTTTGCCTTTTAATTTACTTTGTGAATTGCTGCCAATTGGAATGCCCATTGTGTGATTAAGATTTCACTCAAAGAAAATAGGAAAATCCTATGTCACCTTGCTTAAATAAGTTTTTATTCTTGTTTCAGGACAATATTAATCAAAAGTGATTATATTACCTTGTATAATCTTATATTTTAGGCACTATGTATTTCAATACAGTGATATAGTATGCCCTGTTTTTTCTTCCCATATTAACAAAATGTTTTGAAATATGAAGAACTGAATTATATTGATTCCTTGGTGGTTTTGAAATTTTTATTTTTTTCTCCAGATATTTAAAAGTCTAGCTTAACTATATATCTATGGTATTATTTGTGCTGGTAATTTTACATTTATATATGACTGCTTCATAAAAAAAATTTTCAATCCTTGATACCAAGGATTGAACCCAGGGGCACTCTACCACTGGGCTACATCCCCAGCCCTTTTTTATTTTATTTTGAGATGGGATCTAAGTTGCCCAGGCTAGCCTTGAACTTGTGATCCTCCTGCCTCAGCCTCTTCAGTTGCTGGGATTACAGGCATGCCCCACCACACCCTTTTGATAAATACAGGTTTATAGGGAGAAATGTGGATATAATATACTATATATATGTTTTTACTGGTAGTTTAATTAATGAGATATGCTCCTGAGAAATTGCAGGTGAAATCTGAACTATAATTTTTAAAACCTTTTTCAGCCTTCAGCTTCAGCACCATGAAACCATTCATGAAGCAGCTACTTATGGTTCCATGAGGCCTTACAGAGAAAGTCCTTTGTTAGCAAGGGCAAGAAGGACTGAGAGCTTTCATAGTTATAGAGACTTCCAGACTATTAATTTGAACAAAAATGTAGAAAGAGCTGTTCCTGAAAATGGTAATTTGGGTCCAATACAAGCTGAAGTGAAGGGGGCAACAGGGGAATGTAATATATCTGAGAGAAAGTCTCCCGGAGCAGAAATCAGAAGTTTGAAAGAATTGGATAGTGGATTAGAGGTACATAAAACAGCTGAAGTTTTTTCTGAATCCAAGAAGAGGTCATCAGAAGATGAAAATGAAAATAAAGTAGAGTTAAGGAAGAAAGGAGGATTTGAAGGGGGAGGATTCCTTGGAAGAAAGAAAGTTCCCTATCTGGCATCATCACCAAGTACTTCTGATGGAGGAACCGACTCGCCTGGTACTGCATCCCCGTCCCCTACAAAGACCACCCCGTCTCCAAGGCATAAAAAAAGTGATTCTTCAGGTCAAGAGTACAGTTTGTGAAAACTCACTAAAATGAATGGTAGTTTTGTTAAATTAAGATGAAAATTAAATTTTCCTGGATTTCAGTACATTAGTTTTTACAATGAGGCTTTATAAGATAAATTGGGTGTCATTTATTATCTTTTTAACAGAATTACCTGGAATAAGGAGATAAAATAATCATATCTCTTAATGTTTTGGAAGGTTTTTTAGTTTTACAAACACATTTAACAGATTATTTGCAAAGCAGTATCCATTTTAATGTTTAGCTACTCTTTGTTGGTTTTGTTATCATAGTACCACATCTTAATAGGATGGTGTCCATACAGAGGAATATTCCCTGGAGCATGGGAACCAACAGACTGCATTCCTAATCTTTATTGTGCCTGAGACTTGTCTTGCAATGTTATCTTAAGTGAATAACAATTCTTTTTGAAAGTTGGTCTCCCAACCCTTATTGTGATTTCAGTGTGTTTACCAGATATTTGATGAGGTGCTACGTTTGTGAAAAAATATCATGTAATTAAAAAACACTATTATTTTGAATACCAGATTCCACTGTGTAGTAAGACTTTTAGGATTTTTTTTTTTTTTTTTTTAATCGTGGGTCACTTTCTGATTCTCATTGTTGGAAGTTCTTAAGTCTTAGCATGCATCACCACGTAGAAAGAGCTGTTCCTGAAAATGGTGCAAAAAGTCCATGTGAACTTTCTTTCAAGTTGGAGCAATTGTCTATTTCAGAAAAGATGAAATAAAAATAATAATCAAAGGCAAAGCTTTGAGGGCCCAGAAGGGAAAACTCAGTTGCTAATCTGCCTTGTTTTAAGAGCCACCTTTCCTTTTATTTTTTTTAAAGTATTAATAATCAAAATAACTTAAATGTAGGCCATTTTGTTAAATGAGATTGTAGATTTGGGTTTTTGGCTGAAAGTTTTGGCTATTGTAAATGTGTTATTTTGGATATAATTTCAATTGTTAGAGAAAAAAATTTTGTTTTTTCATTTAATTGGAATGATTTTCAAGTTTCTGCAAATGGGGTAAGTGCAAATTTAAACCATTAAGCATTTATTGCTGAAGAATGTATATATTCCCATTCCAAGAAATATAATGAGTAAAATTGAAATAAATTCTTTAAAGTTTACTATATTACCAGTGGTTTCACAAAAATTCTCTTGTATTTATTTATCAATTGAATCAAATAAAAAAATTTAGACACAATGATTTTAGTTGTTATTCTGTTTGAAGTGAACCTACATCATTTTTCTTTTTTCTTTTTTTTTTTTTTTTGGCTTCTTCCTATAAAAAGAAAATGGAGAGGGAGAATATATAGAAAAACTAAGTTATACTACCAGTAAGGAAAAAGGTTAGGCAAAGCATAATTTCAAAGTCACTAAGGATCCATCTTATGCCATTTTCATTATAATCACATTTGTGTGGAAGTTGGATGGACAACTAAGGAAATTAAGGCGGAAAAATTGGAATATTTACCACTAAAAGAAAACTTTAAAAAGTAATGAGGGCTATTATATAGCAAAATATTATAAAAGTTAGCTGACTGTACCATGGATTGCATTTTATTATAGGTCCATTTTATTTTTTCTCATATACTTACAGGAGACTGAACCTTAGATTGAACCTTAGCAGAGAATTGAGTCTACTCTGGCACCTTGTAACCTTAAGCAAAGTATTCCCACTTGCCTAAATTTTTCATTATACCAATATCATTAAGGTTGTTGTAAGTAGAATAAAAATTAAAATGCATCTGTACTTTGTATGATTGATGAATAGTGAGAACAGAATTAGAATTCTCATGATTAAAAGTTTTTCAATTAATTTTGTACTTATTTCCAAGTAGTGAATTATACCAGTTGATAAGTATTCTCATTTCACAGGTCACTGAGACTCACAAAAGATAAAATAACTCAGCTATTGAACCACCTTTGAATCCATATCTTCCCATTTGAAAAGCCAATGGTTTTGTTCCTGTTTTTCTCATCCAGGCTTTTTTATCATAATTACCTGAGGATAGACACTTAAGGTTGCCCAAGCCTTCCTCCAGTTTTTTTAACGTGAATATCTGGTGGGTGGGATTCACATTTTGAAAACAGTACCATAGTTTATTCCAATGTACCTCAGTTGAGACTATACCAATAGCATCCTATTTCCTTAAATGAGTACATCTTTTTATCATCATTTCTTATGTGTAACTCAGGATTTTTAGATTGCTTTCTCATAAGTTTATAAAATCAAACTTGGTTCACATTTAAATATTTATTAAGCAAACCATATTGAGATTAATTTACATGATATTTGTGCTTTGGAAATCAACTACTATTCATATAACATAATTGAGTTCCTTATTACAGAATTGTTTCGCCTGGACTGTTTATTTTTACAGGTTTTTCCAGATGAATTGTTTTTATATGGATGCCAGCATGAGTTTTACATCAGTATAAGGTACTATAACAGATTCGTGTTTAGGTTCTCCATTTAATGGAAATTACAATAGATCATCTGTAAACACAATTCTTCGTAGAGCTTACAAAAACATAACTATGAACTCATATCAAACAGTATTAGGAATAACAAAACATCGTAGTTTTTAAATTAAGCTGAGAATGTGGCCTGTACGAGTGATAAGACATGAATCTGATTTAGAATAGCAATTCATGGAGAATTGATTATTGTAAGGGAAAAGCAGTAGGCCAGGGAACATCAAGTCCACTTACTGCTCTTCATGATTTCTTCCAGGTTATTTCATTGGTTCTAAACATTAGGAAGTTTTAAAAAGTGCAGATACCTTAACCCCATCCCAGACCAATTTAATCAGAATCTCTGAGGGTTCAGGTCTGCATAACTTTGTATATCAGGCTTGGCATTCAATACCAATTAAATGTAAAATCTCTGAAATAAATTTAAGTTATGAGTATTGCTGAGGGTAGTACTCTGGGTGGAAGCTGTACAACCGCTGTTTATCCTGACCTAGGTGGTCAAATGTAAATAATTCAGTTAACTGAATTTGGGTAATAACAAAGTGTGATTAGATGATTAAGTGAAGAATGATTTAAGATAAATCTTCCTGTTTTGTTTTGTGTTCTCTTCAACTTTAGAACTATGCCTTTAAAGTCTATTAAATTTCAAAAACAAGAATGAACTCTTATGAGTTCACCTGTGACTTGAAAATCCCATTTGAAGAACTGTAGACTAAGAATACAAATTTGTGACAGGTAGCTTCTATGTGGTCAACATTCAGCCTTGGTGAATGGTCATTTGTGTTAGCTTTAAACAACATATGGACCCAAAATCAGCAAATGGAAATAAAAATCCGTAAACTAGCCAAACCTATGTATAAAACTTTTGGCGAGGAAAAATATATATATAATTCTACTGCCAACTATGCACAATCATTTCAGATTTGTGTATAGAAGATGTAATAAAGGGGCAGAGAACTTCTGTTTAATACTGATGTGTGCTTTGACACAGTTGGCAAGCTATGTCTAGGAGTCTGTCATTCTCAGGAGCTGCTCTCCCACAATTTTGGATAGTCTCAGTACCTACAAAAGTCCACAGTCTTTGACTCTTGGACCAGAGGGGTAATTCATAGTTTTTTTAGGCAGAACAAGTAAGGTTATCCCTGCAGAAGTTTTTGCCAGCTCAACTTTGCAAAAATCAAACTGCCTCTGGACATAGATTTACAAAGTATTGTCAGACTGTTGTGTAACAGATTGAAAATAATTTCCTGGAAGCATTAAAACGAAGAAA